CAGGAAAGGGCTGGATAAAGTCTGGAGCAATCTAGACAAGTCTGGATAAGGCTGGATAAAGTCTGGAAAAGTTTGGATAAGTTAGGATAAAGTCTGGAAAAGCCAGAAAATTTCTGGAAACGTCTGGAAAAGGCTTTATTAGGTCTGGAGAAATCTAGACAAGTCTGGAAAAATCTAGCGAAGTCTAGAAAAGTCTGGATAAAGTCTGGAAAAGTCTGGAAATTTCTGAAATAGGCTTAATAAGGAAAAAATTGAAATTGTCGCATAGCGCTGAAATTTGGTACGATGGCCTTATTTATCGTTCTTACGAATATACTGCAATTTTAATTGCTTCACATGATATAAAATTGCAGTATATTCATGAGAACAATAAATAAAGCCATCGTACCAAATTTCAGCGCTATGCTTTTTTTTTTTTACTTTTTGAAAAATCTCGCGCGACGTTTTCAGGCCAATAAGTCATTAAGTAATTAACGAAAAAAAAAAATACGCAGGGGCATTATGAGAGGAATAAATGGGCTGCCGATTGTCGAAAACTGTCACCCAATATTTGGCCCCGTTTAGAAATTAGAGTGAATGCAAGAAAGGGGTAGTTTTCGATGCAATTTACAACTTCCTCGCACTTTAGACAAGTCCGTGCTCGCTTAATTTTCAAGTAAAAAACTCGAACAAAAAAGCATTGGAGAGTGCATTTCATTAGCAATAATGTGGTGTTCGAAAAATTGAAATCGGATTATGCATTCGGCCGCTGCTGCAACAAATGCGCGCAAAATGGCAAAACGTTGATTCAGTGACCTTGAACAAAAACATGCTACTATTCAAGACGCTGCAGAAAAAAAAACTATAGAAGATAGAGGGATGCTGTCCCTGAGTTTTTTATAGCAAAAAACATCAGGTACAACATTCATTTGAAACTTTTTGCTATTGGACCATCCCTTTGAGCAGCGTTCTCCATAAACCTCAAATTACCCCTAAAAACCACCCCTAACTAAAAATCCTATGGAAGTACAAGGTCGCAAACTTAATATGTTATTAAGCACATGAAAATGAACCGATCCCCCCCAAAAAATGTTAACTTCTAATTATGTTGAGGTAAACTTCCTTCATTGCTTGGCCTATTTGATCACATTTAAAATTTATGTCTACCACGTAGGTACAAACAAAAAATGTAAGTTGAATAATTGAGCAATTGAATTTAAAATCTTTTTTCGATTGTTTGCAGTAAAATGTTGATCGAGTAGACTTCAATAACTGGCCTAATAAAAAAAAAAGGAACTTTATGAAAATGTAAAAAAAAATTTAAGACTCGATATCTCGTATTATACCACAGCACCTAAATAGTCAATAACTCGTTTCATAATAACACCTTGATTATGGTTATGATTATTCTGTTTTAATTAACACGTTCACTACCGCCGGCCACTATAGTGGTCATTACGGTTTCCTGGTGTGAACCGCGGCCACTAATCTGGCCATATATTCCTACTCTTTTATTCAATTTTGAAGCGGATCGTGAATGGTGCGGTTATTAGGTACTTTGGTCCATTCTTAATGTTTCTTGTCCGCGCAGAGCCACTATAGTGGCCTCTGGTTCTTTAGCGTTGCTGTATTTTGTGATACATGCCAGGTGTATTATAGTGCGTTTCCTTTTATACTTCCATCGGACCAACCACTCCAAGGTAAAGGACTCAATCCCGTACGATCCAAAGATGGCACAAGATAGCTTAAAAACAGTTCCTTTAATAATTCCCGCTGAAAGGAACACTTTCAGGAACTACTCAACAGAGAATCACAAATTACAGATGATATCTTCAACGGAATTCCACAGAAACCCAATGCAACAAGAACTGAGCAAGGTTCCTAGATTAGAGAAGGTTGAAAAGGCAATCAGACAACTACAGAACAATAAATCAGCTGGTATTGACGGCATTCCTGCTGAATTAGGTGCCCAAACTCACATACATACTAATAAGTAAAATATGGGTTACTGAGACTGATACTTTTCTGTTATATATTTCATGGAATCAGATGTATTTTCCTATATTATGTTCAAGGTCATTTTCGAGGAAATGGTTCTGTGGAAGATAAGTCAAAGAGTGGATGTCCTAAAGTCCGCCTCATGGAAGTTAAAGGATCGAAAGAATGCGATCGCCCGCGCCCCGCCCTGTACATGAGCAAACATTTCCTCCGAAAATGTTTTTATACAGGGTGTTCCAAGAACATCTGTACCGGTATTTTATGACACTTATGGATTATACGGAGAATTCTACACAGCAACACATATCAATTATTGAAAGTTTTTACCTATACTAGGTCATGAGGTGGCCAATTTAATGGCTTCAAAACAAAATGGCGGAATTTTATTTAGTAACACCAACTGATCTATCTGTCTAAATATCGTTCAAATATTCATAATACTTTTAAAGATATTATACTTGGTCCATAACAAGTGACAGCCCTTTAACGCTCGGTAGTGAACGTGTTAAACCACTTCGAAAAATGTATACCTACCTACGAGTTCCATAAAACAGAATGAGATAAGTAGACATACGCACACCGTACATTCAAGAAATGTGATCGATTTAAAATCATTATGATATACCATACAAAAATAATTAGTCACCAACTCCATCCATCGCATTTGAAATTTCTCCACTAAAATAACATCTATACAACTTATCTCACTGTTACATTTAATGTATAAAGCCGCGTCCAGATTAGTAAATAAATGCGTTGTGTTGAATTCGGGATTCGCCACACATTTTTTTGGCACAAATTTGGTATCTTGAACCACATAAATATTTGTGTTGTGCGCCGTGCATTCTTACTCAACACGTGTGTGGCGGTGGTGTATGGCTTTCCTAAGCTTATTGTATACATTCTGGCAATTTTGGGCCCAATCTTGTGTATCAAAAATTCAAAATTATTTGAAGACATACGCAATTTTTTTTTCAAATGCCCTGTACTTTCATCCATAGATAGAATATTCAATAATGTGCTACCATCAGAGTTTTTCTTATGCTGATACAGATACTTAGTCCAATAGACCTGATGGTTTTGTTTCTTTTTTTCTCTTCCTTTTTCGTAATGAGAATAAGGCACATAACTATGAAAGCAACACATTTTTTTGCAGTATTATCAATCCATCAGAAGACAGTAATCACGGATTGACAATTTGTCAAAATCGATGCGTTCGCGAAAAAATACGTCCACACCAGAACATGTTGCGCCGTAAATCTCTTTGATGTTTTGAAAAAAACCGACAATCCGCGGATCGCGTGCGTTGAATGCCGCGAAAATTTTTGCGTGCGTCCGTATGCTGCGAACAGGTCCACACTCGCCTAAATTTGTATCGCACACACACATTTGTGCCGAATGCCACGTACAACGTAAATTTTTACTAATGTGGACGCGGCTTAATGTACATTTAAATAAAAAATTATGCTGTTTTTTGTACAACACCTAATAAATATTTTCCATTTTATAATTATTTTGATGGACTTGATTTAAAAAAAAAAGCGCGCGAAGCGCGCTCATGACCTAGTATAGGTAAAAACTTTCAATAATTGATATGTGTTGCTGTGTAGAATTCTCCGTATAATCCATAAGTGTCATAAAATACCGGTACAGATGTTCTTGGAACACCCTGTATAAAAACATTTTCGGAGGAAATGTTTGCTCATGTACAGGGCGGGGCGCGGGCGATCGCATTCTTTCGATCCTTTAACTTCCATGTGGCGGACTTTAGGACATCCACTCTTTGACTTATCTTCCACAGAACCATTTCCTCGAAACTTTCTCTCAATTTTGCTGAATACTTATTGATTTATTGGTATATCCGGGTATTTGTTGTTGAATAAAATACACACATTCTGTTGGGTTTACACTCTTTCTCCATACGTACCCAATCATCCTGAGAATTTCAAAGCTTTGTTTTGTTGATACACGCATTTTAAATTACTTTTACTTGAAATTAAGTCATACCAAAACTCACAAATGACATACAATTCGAACGATAATAAGTAAGCAAACCTGCCTTATAAGCAACAAAATATCATCCATGACTACTATATTTCCTCAAAATCAATTTCAATCACAAGTGTCAATATTTCCGAGACAGTTCAAACTTCAAAGACACAGTTCAAGATAGGCAAAAACTTCAAATTGTGATATGTTTCAGAATTCTCCGTAGAATCCAGAAATGTCAAAATATACAGGGGGTGCCATTTGAAAAAATAAAGTTGATACTCGTACAGCTATTCTTGGAACACACTGGTGTGAAAAAATTTCAAGCAAAGAAACAAAATCGACGTGTCTGAGCGTTTTTTTGGAAACGTCTTCATTTATTTTATATTGGATTTATTCCATACGTAATGTTATAGTTAAGTTAATGTTTGCTTGGGGATGGGTATTTTTATCAGCCTGGAAAGCGGCAGTTATCTGTCCTATACTAGAAGTATATACCTCATCCGCATTTGAAGATCTGAGGCCTGCGAGCCTTCTGCCAGCCCAGCTGTATCATTTTGTAAGGGAATGTGGATTGCTACCAAGCCACCAGTCTGGGTTTCGGGCTGGATATATATGGTACTTCAGAATAAGTTTCATCGGGCCTTGGAAAAGTTACAAATATTATTGTTTTAAGTGCTAATTTCGTTTGTTTACTTCCAATTTTTCGTAGAATGAAAAAAAGTGTTGTTTGGTTGGTAACACAAAAGAATCTTTCTCAGGTTTGATGGCCTAGTTGTCTGGATTTTTGTTGTTCTTTTTTTTTCAAATTATTTTCTTGAGTCTGAGTTGAAAATATGATTCGTTCAGCTTAAGGAACATTAGCACCTTATTGTAGAAATAGTGAAATTTTGTAGATATAATGCAGTATGTATTTGTATTACACACTCGAAGGGTTGATGCTGAATAGCTGTGGTTATTCAGGTAGACCCTCGAGAACTGTTTATTTATAAATTTATTGCCGAATAAATATTTTTTTAACTTTTTTTTTTCAGGGCGAACAAGTACCTTCAAAAATCATCAGTCAGTAGAGTTTGCGCAGTTGGTGGTTTCTTCATTTCAATTCCAGTATTTTTAACAGGTGATAACTTATTTATTATAATAATATCAAACTTTGCTAATATCTATTATATGTCCGATTATCAATCTCACGATAAGCTCCTGAAGTAAATACTAGTAGGTTGGCAGCAGAACTAGAAATGGATATATTCAAGATTAAGACTACTAACAAAACTAATCAGGATATCTTTCTACATCAACGTTTAAAATTTACTTGAATGCTTCATTGGGACTTAAATATAATTCGTAACATATTTTTCAATAGACCTACACTTTTGCGTGCATAGAAATCGGATAATCCTACAACCTCCAACTATATTATCACGGATTCCGGGTCCACTAATATTAACAAGTTTCATTGAACAAAATTGACTTTATATAAAATGTACTTATGTATTACTTATCAAAACATGCACAACAACTATCGTATTCAAATTGATAACAACAACACTCTTGATAGTCTTTTAAACTCGCCACAACAAAGCTCTTATTTAGACTAACTCTATTAACTGAGTGCGATATTTATAGCTGAAATGTTCTCGGGATTTATCTAGAAAAACCCGGCGCCCTGAATCCTGACCGAGTTGTTCAACAGACATGATATGCTTTGATGAGTTCAAATTTACTCAAAGGATGATGCACACTTTAAGTGGAGATTTAAAAGATCCACGATTTTGATGAAATTTTGTTATGTTGTAGATCTTGATCTTCTGATCAAAAGTTCTCATGGGTCCAAGATGATCCTATGACTGGTTTCCGAAATACAGTGGCAGGTATGGGGCTACCCAAAAATCCGAAGAAATAGAATTCTTTTACAGAAGGTAAACTTTAATACAAAAAGTGTTAAAATTGATTAAATCCTATTTTTATTGGCCATGGTAGATGTCAGGGCACAATTTCTATCTACAGAAGGTACTCAGAAAAATATAATCCTTCTGTTTAATTCATACTTTTTATACAAAAAACGGATGTTCAAGTTAGTAAAGGATTACAAATCTTAAAAAAAAAAACGTGTTGAGTTCAACTGCGGTTAATGGGCGGGAGCGGGTAATAGGCGGGAGCGAAATTTCGGAGAGAGAGCTGAAATTTTAATCGAGTCTTATTCTAATAGAAGATCACAAATCTTAAAAAAATCGTGTTAAGTTTAACAGCGGGTAATGGGCGGGAGCGGGTGATAGGCGGGAGCGGGTAATAGGCGGGAGCGAAATTTCAGAGAGAGAGCTGAAATTTTAATGGAGTCTTATCCTAGTAGAGGATTACAAATCTTAAAAAAATCGTGTTAAGTTCAACCGCGGGTAATGGGCGGGAGCGGGTAATATGCGGGAGCGAAATTTCAGAGAGAGAGCTGAAATTTTAATTGAGTCTTATCCTAGTAGAGGAATACAAATCTTAAAAAAATCGTGTTAAGTTTAACCGCAGGTAATGGGCGGGAGCGAAATCTCAGAGAGAGAGCTGAAATTTTAATTGAGTCTTATCCTAGTAAAGGATTACAAATCTTAAAAAAATCGTGTTGAGTTTAACAGCGGGTGATGGGCGGGAGCGGGTGATAGGCGGGTAATGGGCGGGAGCGAAATTTCAGAGAGAGAGCTCAAATTTTAATTGAGTCTTATCCTAGTAAAGGATTACAAATCTTAAAAAAAAAACGTGTTGAGTTCAACTGCGGGTAATGGGCGGGAGCGGGTAATAGGCGGGAGCGAAATTTCGGAGAGAGAGCTGAAATTTTAATCGAGTCTTATTCTAATAGAAGATCACAAATCTTAAAAAAATCGTGTTAAGTTTAACAGCGGGTAATGGGCGGGAGCGGGTGATAGGCGGAAGCGGGTGATAGGCGGGTTTTAGGCGGGAGCGAAACTTCAGAGAGAGAGCTGAAATTTTAATTGAGTCTTATCCTAAAGGAGGATTACAAATCTTAAAAAATCGTGTTAAGTTTAACCGCGGGTAAATGACGGGAGCGGGTGATAGGCGGGTAATTGGCGGTTGCGAAATTTCGGAGAGAGAGCTGAAATTTTAATCGAGTCTTATTCTAATAGAGGAACACAAATCTTAAAAAAATCGTGTTAAGTTTAACAGCGGGTAATGGGCGGGAGCGGGTGATAGGCGGGAGCGGGTAATAGGCGGGAGCGAAATTTCAGAGAGAGAGCTGAAATTTTAATGGAGTCTATTCCTAGTAGAGGATTACAAATCTTTAAAAAATCGTGTTAAGTTCAACCGCGGGTAATGGGCGGGAGCGGGTAATATGCGGGAGCGAAATTTCAGAGAGAGAACTGGAATTTTAATTGAGTCTTATCCTAGTAGAGGAATACAAATGTTAAAAAAATCGTGTTAAGTTTAACCGCGGGTAATGGGCGGGAGCGGGTAATAGGCGGGAGCGAAATCTCAGAGAGAGAGCTGAAATTTTAATTGAGTCTTATCCTAGTAGACGATTACAAATCTTAAAAAAATCGTGTTGAGTTTAACAGCGGGTAATGGGCGGGAGCGAAATTTCAGAGAGAGAGCTGAAATTTTAATTGAGTCTTATCCTAGTAAAGGATTACAAATCTTAAAAAAAAAAAACGTGTTGAGTTCAACTGCGGGTAATGGGCGGGAGCGAGTAATAGGCGGGAGCGAAATTTCAGGGAGAGAGCTGAAATTTTAATCGAGTCTTATCCTAGTGGAGGATTACAGATCTTAAAAAACCGTGTTAAGTTTAACCGCGGGTAAATGGCGGGAGCGGGTGATAGGCGGGTAATAGGCGGCAGCGAAATTTCCGATAGAGAGCTGAAATTTTAATTGAGTCTTATCCTAGTAGAGGATCACAAATCCTAAAAAAATCGAGTTAAGTTTAACCGCGGGTAATGGGCGGGCGCGGGTAATGGGCGGGAGCGGGTAATAGGCGGGAGCGAAATCTCAGAGAGAGAGCTGAAATTTTAATCGAGTCTTATCCTAGTAGAGGATTACAAATCTTTAAAAAATCGTGTCAAGTTCAACCGCGGGTAATGGGCGGGAGCGGGTAATGGGCGGGGGCGGGTAATGGGCGGGAGCGGGTAATGGGCGGGAGCGGGTAATGGGCGGGAGCGGGTAATGGGCGGGAGCGGGTAATGGGTGGGAGCGGGTAATAGGCGGGAGCGGGTAATAGGCGGGAGCGAAATTTCAGAGAGAGAGCTGAAATTTTAATTGACTCTTGAATGAATGAATGAATGAATGAATGAATGAAAGAGTGGGCGGCCGCGACCGTAGTGCAATTGAGTCTTATTCTAGTAAAGGATTACAATTCTTAAAAAAATCGTGCTAATTTTAATCGCGGGTAATGGGCGGGAGCGGGTGATAGGCGGGTGATAGGCGGGTAATTGGCGGGTAATAGTCGGGAGCGAAATTTCAGAGAAAGAGCTGAAATTTTAATTAAGTCTTAACCTAGTGCAGGATTACAAATTTAAAAAAAATCGTGTTAAGTTTAACCCGGGTAATGGGCGGGAGCGGGTGATAGGCGGGTAATGGGCGGGAGCGAAATTTCAGAGAGAGAGCTGAAATTTTAATCGAGTCTTATCCTAGTAGAGGATTACTAATCTTAAAAAAATCGTGTGAAGTTCAACCGCGGGTAATGGGCGGGAGCGGGTAATGGGCGGGGGCGGGTAATGGGCGGGAGCGGGTAATGGGCGGGAGCGGGTAATGGGCGGGAGCGGGTAATGGGCGGGAGCGGGTAATGGGTGGGAGCGGGTAATAGGCGGGAGCGGGTAATAGGCGGGAGCGAAATTTCAGAGAGAGAGTCGAAATTTTAATTCAGTTTTATCCTAGTAGAGGATTACAAATCTTAAAAAAATCGTGTCAAGTCTAACCGCGGGTAATGGGTGTGAGCGGGTAATAGGCGGGAGCGAAATTTCAGAGAGAGAGCTGAAATTTTAATTGAGTCTTGAATGAATGAATGAATGAATGAAAGAGTGGGCGGCCGCGACCGTAGTGCAATTGAGTCTTATCCTAGTAGGGGATTACAATTATTTAAAAAATCGTGCTAATTTTAATCGCGGGTAATGGGCGGGAGCGGGTGATAGGCGGAAGCGAAATTTCGGAGAGAGAGCTGAAATTTTAATCGAGTCTTATCCTAGTAGAGGATTACATAATCTTAAAAAAATTGAGTCAAGTTCAACCGCGGGTAATCGGCGAGAGCAGGTATGAGGCAGGAACGAAATTTCAGAGAGAGCTGAAATTTTAATTGAGCCTTATCCTAGTAGAGGATTACAAATCTTAAAAAAATCGAGCTAAGTTTAACCTCGGGTAATGGGCGGAAGCGGGTGATAGGCGGGTAATGGGCGGGAGCGAAATTTCAGAGAGAGAGCTGAAATTTTAATTGAGTCTTATCCTAGTAAAGGATTACAAATCTTAAAAAAAAACGTATTGAGTTCAACTGCGGGTAATGGGCGGGAGCGGGTAATAGGCGGGAGCGAAATTTCAGAGAGAGAGCTGAAATTTTAATTGAGTCTTATCCTAGTAGGGGATTACAAATACTCTGTTTAGGGTACCTAAAAAGAGTTGCAAATAACTTTGAGGGTGGTTCAAGTGGGTAAATCTAATAATTGCGATTCATTGAAAAATGGTTTCTGTGAAAATTTCTAATATACACCGTTTGGGGAACCCCACTTCACTTGCAAATTACTTTAGGGGTGGTTTCAAGGGGTAAAACTAATTATTGCGATCCATGGAAATAGTATAGGAAATAGAAAATGGCGGGAGCGGGTGATAGGCGAGTAATAGGCGGGAGCGAAATTTCAGAGAGAGAGCTGAAATTTTAATGGAGTCTTATCCTAGTAGAGGATTACAAATCTTTAAAAAATCGTGTTAAGTTCAATCGCGGGTAATGGGCGGGAGCTGGTAATATGCGGGAGCGAAATTTCAGAGAGAGAACTGAAATTTTAATTGAGTCTTATCCTAGTAGAGGAATACAAATCTTAAAAAACTCGTGTTAAGTTTAACCGCGGGTTATGGGCGGGAGCGGGTAATCGGCGAGAGCGAAACTTCAGAGAGAGAGCTGAAATTTCAATCGAGTTTTATCTTAGTAGAGGATTACAAATCTTGAAAAAATCGAGTCAAGTTCAACCGCGGGTAATGGGCGGGAGCAGGTATGAGGCGGGAACGAAATTTCAGAGAGAGCTGAAATTTTAATTGAGCCTTATCCTAGTAGAGGATTACAAATCTTAAAAAAAATCGAGCTAAGTTTAACCTCGGGTAATGGGCGGAAGCGGGTAATAGGCGGGTAATAGGCGGGAGCGAAATCTCAGAGAGAGAGCTGAAATTTTAATCGAGTCTTATCCTAGTAGAGGATTACTAATCTTAAAAAAATCGTGTTAAGTTCAACCGCGGGTAAGGGCGGGAGCGGGTAATAGGCGGGAGCGAAATTTCAGAGAGAGAGCTGAAATTTCAATTGAATCTTGAATGAATGAAAGAGTGGGCGGCCGCGACCGTAGTGCAATTGAGTCTTATCCTAGTAGGGGATTACAATCCTTAAAAAAATCGTGCTAATTTTAATCGCGGGTAATGGGCGGGAGCGGGTGATAGGCGGGTAATAGGCGGGTAATAGTCGGGAGCGAAATTTCAGAGAAAGAGCTGAAATTTTAATTAAGTCTTAACCTAGTGCAGGATTACAAATTTTAAAAAAATCGTGTTAAGTTTAACCCGGGTAATGGGCGGGAGCGGGTGATAGGCGGAAGCGAAATTTCGGAGAGAGAGCTGAAATTTTAATCGAGTCTTATCCTAGTAGAGGATTACAAATCTTAAAAAAATCGTGTTGAGTTTAACAGCGGGTGATGGGCGGGAGCGGGTGATAGTCGCTGATACCCGACTATCACCCGCTCGAGAAAGAGCTGAAATTTTAATTAAGTCTTAACCTAGTGCAGGATTACAAATTTTAAAAAAATCGTGTTAAGTTTAACCCGGGTAATGGGCGGGAGCGGGTGATAGGCGGGAGCGAAATTTCAAAGAGAGAGCTAAAATTTTAATTGAGTGTTATCCTAGTAGAGGATTACAAATCTTAAAAAAATCGTGTTGAGTTTAACAGCGGGTGATGGGCGGGAGCGGGTGATAGTCGCTGATACCCGACTATCACCCGCTCGAGAAAGAGCTGAAATTTTAATTAAGTCTTAACCTAGTGCAGGATTACAAATTTTAAAAAAATCGTGTTAAGTTTAACCCGGGTAATGGGCGGGAGCGGGTGATAGGCGGGAGTGAAATTTCAAAGAGAGAGCTAAAATTTTAATTGAGTGTTATCCTAGTAGAGGATTACAAATCTTAAAAAAATCGAGCTAAGTTTAACCTCGGGTAATGGGCGGAAGCGGGTGATAGGCGGGTAATGGGCGGGAGCGAAATTTCAGAGAGAGAGCTGAAATTTTAATTGAGTCTTATCCTAGTGGAGGATTACAAATCTTAAAAAAATCGTGTTAAGTTTAACCGCGAGTAATGGGCGGGAGCAGGTGATAGGCGGGTGATAGGCGGCAGCGAAATTTCAGAGAGAGGGCTGGAATTTTATTTGAGTCTCATCCTAGTAGAGGATTACAAATACACCGTTTAGGGTACCTAAAAAGAGTTGCAAATAACTTTGAGGGTGGTTTAAGTGGGTAAAACTAATAATTGCGATTCATTGAAAAATGGTTTCTGTGAAAATTTCTAATATACACCGTTAGGGGAACCCCACTTGACTTGCAAATTACTTTAGGGGTGGTTTCAAGGGGTAAAACTAATTATTGCGATCCATGGAAATAGGGGTAAAATGAACATTTCCACCCTTCGGGTGCAAATGGTACTGGAAGTTATAGGCAGTACCTATACATATACACCGTTTAGGAAACCTAATTTAACTTGCAAGTTACTTTGAGGGTGATTCAAGGAGTAAACTCTAATAATTGCGATTCATCGAATAAAGGGTTTTTGTGAAAATATGGATATTTCCACCCTAATCCAATCCACTTAGTATCCGGATACAACGCGTGAAATAAACGTAGTCTTTATCACTTTTGACACTTTTTGTATTAAAGTTTACCTTTTTTAAAAGAATTTCTATTTACTCGGATTTTTGGGTAGCCCCATATCCGCCACTGTATTTCGGAAACCAGTCATAGAATCATCTTGGGACAATGAGAACTTTTGATCAGTAGATCGAAATCTATAACATACAAAAAATTTCATTACAATCGTGGATTTTTTGAAATCCCATCTAAAGTGTGCATCGTCATTTATTTCGGATTCTTTGTCTCAAAACTTGGAAATTGAGGGACTAACTTTTTCTATTACTAAGGCATGGCTTATTGACAATAATTATTTAAATTATCAGTTATTTTTTCATGATGACTATGAACCCCTCTTTTCCTAATAACATCTCTCATACAATTAGTTCATTATTGTTATTATTTCTTTTGAGATGTCAAGCCACATTGGTTGTTTTAACTTTAAATTTAATTTATTGAACATTTAAATACCCATGGATTCACCCAACGTCTTTCGGTACCTTCAGTTGTCGATATAATAGAGTTCAGTTCATGTATCAGTGTGAAATGTGAAACAGCCACGCAGAAATCTTTCTGACATGTCAAAAGTGGTTCATTTTATCATTAACGCTGAAAGGAGCAGTGGGTTCTGAGAAAGTGTTGAAAGTACGTTTCATTTTATCACTGAGTCTTGAAGTGGGATCTAGAATGTATTCCCTGTCAGTGTTAAAAGAAAATGAGTTTGTTTTTTTTTAACATCATAAGGAATATAATCTAGCGTTCTCGATTTGCGACGGCCCCTCTCTCGAGACGCTGCTGAGTGATGGCGAAGGACATCTCACTGGATAATAGTAATCCTCAATAGGCCTTGGGTTAAAAAGTCCACTTTATTGCATAAATTATCGCATGTTCTTGGACAACATGAAAAAAAAAAAAAAAAAAAAACTGCGGTATACCTCTCAACTTGTGCTAGCGATTTTTTTTCGTGTTTTATTTAATACTTTAGTATAGACATGCACTAAAGTGGTTTTTATTTTATTTTTTCTCAAAAAAACGACTAACTAGCCCCTAATACTACAAATGACATCGTCGATTCAAAAATATATTTAAAAAAATTTAGAACCCTATATACTTGGGTATCAACAACTAGAAATTGGCCTTCTGCACTTGCACAAGTTTTTTAAATTATCAACAATACAAAAATTAGAAAATTTGAAGAAGATATATTTTGCTATTATGCGAGGTCCTCAAAATTTGCTTTTAATCAAATTATCATTATTTTAATTTCAGGCGTAATACTTTACACTTTCATCCAGTTCCATTCGACTCCAGCCATAGTGACTAGCGTGTTCATAGGCCTAGGCATCGTATTCTGTGGTTGTGCAATGGTTCACAACGTTTTTATATGGCAAAGAGAAAAAACAAACGCTGTCAAGGAATTAGCATTACAAGACACTTCTCAACATCATAATTTCTTTCATAGCATTACTTCTCAGCCTTTCCAAACAAATTTAAATCAGTCACATGTTAGCAATTTTAATCATAGCTTTGGCCATCCCCTGGCTAGTATACATAGTAACGGGCCTTATGTTATAAGGACTTCTACTAGCACCCCACCTACAGGAGAGAATATTAATAAACATCTTAGAGAAACTAGTGGTAGTGTTAGTCCTGCAATGGTAGCTAATACTATTGATATTAGTAGTGTAGGTACTACAAACAATAGTCCACATGAATTATCTACTCTGGTGTAGCATGCATAATCATCCAAAAATTTATTTGGAAAGGCTAATACTTATATCAGGATTTATAAGAATTTATGTTTGTGGGGATCCAACGATTCAGCGCACTACAATAATAATTAGGTGCTGGCACAATTCAGCTTAAGACAATAATTGAGCGTAAATACAATTTAGCTTAAGGCAGTTTAAGGCACTTCTCAGCCTCTGCACGCATTGTTACTTATCTTATCACAAAACAAGAATGTGAATGAAATTTAATCAAAAGATCATTCGAGAAACTGGCCTCACTAATGCGGTAACCATTGGGTAAACAAAGTCGATTAAGCAAAACTGAAAGTGCTCCAATTTTGAAACAAGGATATCAAATATCGAAGATCGAACCAAAGTGAAAAATCATTTTGCAACCCATTTGGAGGTCGGAACATTATTTAAAATTGAAGCAATTTTCTAAAGGACAATCATTTTACCCTGGATATTCTAGAAGAAAAAAAAACCTCAAATATTTCAATAGAGAAGCTGGAAAAAAGAAATTTTCCTATAATCAACAAATGTTTAATAGAGTTAATTATCTGAAATATGTACTCTTGCTCTATTGTGGCCAGCTACCTACCTATTATTAATATAATTAATAGGTACTTTAGAGACATGAAATTAAACACCTTTGATTAGCCAGAAATTCGTTTTACTCCTAGAAACCATAAGAAGAGGACTCACAATTTTATTTCAAAAAAAATAAATCAGAAGGTTATTTAAAGAGTGATCCACCTCACCTATACAAGTAGAATATTGCATATCTTTTCAAATTAAACTTTATGTAATATTATCATAGCACACATAATAAAAATTATAAAAACATTTTAAACTGGTTCCACATTACATATTCATTAACTAAATACAAAAAGTATCCGGATACGATATGCCTAAAGCTTTTACCAAAGATCCATCTAAAATCTAATTGATATTTTGTTTCAACAATGTATACTTAATCCTGATGAAGTTATAAAAAGTGCGCTGAATTATCTCGCTCTACGCTGAATAATTACTAGAATACATAATTGTCAAGTATCATATGCGCTTAATTGTATTACGCTTGGCATGCCAAAAATTGAATTGAGTAACGTTTATTTTGTCAATTTAAAATTAGAATAAATTTTTCAAATGAGGAATCAATATCAATATGTGGGAGGCACCTATATTCAATGTACATTTTCTTTCCTATTTTGATGGAAATTACCTAATTTTTATGTAAATATCAAATAGGTACGTAATGATTTGTAAAATCATTTTAGAGATAAAATTGTAAGTATGTTACAATGTGAAAATATTTTAAATCTCGCGCAGAGAAAAAATCGACCAACATGCATATTATCAAAGTTTACAGAACTAAAAATAATTATTACAATTCGGTAGACTTTGATATAAGGTACCTAGAGTAGACATAGATGAAGCATTTTGGTTGTTTAGGTGGGTGTACTATTACAGGACGAATCAACCAGAAAAATGTTAATTTACCGCTCAATTTCCAACGTCCTTCCAAATCAAAGCGTTGATATAGGTAATTAACTCCAGTAGTACCTAGGGGAGATTTTCTCAAAATAATCGTTTCAATCGAAATAAATCCTATGCCTTTAACCCTTTCAGTACGGCTGACCGATATATCTGCCACATACAAATTTGACACACAGACGGCTGGCCGATATATGTGACATCGAGTTATTCATGCTCCATGGACTAATATCACATATTTCAGACAAATGTGAAAAATCAATTTGCTGTACAGACTACTGACCGGATAATCGGCCACACATATCCATGCCACGCCATGAACGACCGAAATATACGACAGTCGTCGGGGTGGCAAGTTTAGTGAGTAAATAGTATCATTCAAAATGTCGACAGAGGAGCAGCCAGGACCTTCAAAAAAGCGGGTTAGAGTGCAAAATGATTACGATAATAGTTATTGCGGATTGGATCAACGTGAGGTACTCCATATTAATGCATTGCTCAAAAACAATGCAGGCAGATATATATGACACCCGTCTATCCGGCATGCAAAAAACTGCCGTCCACACGCCAAAACAAGTGAAAATACTGCCGTCCTGAAAGGGTTAAGAGCTATTTAATTCAAAGGACATCAGATAATGTATAAAAAGTGCCATTTTGTATTTTTCAAAATTTAATGTCCTGTGAGGAAACCAGTCTTGCCAGCAAAATAAAAATGGGTGTTTTAAAAATCAAAGAATCTAGTACAAAATAAATTATTATGAACGCTTAAAATATGTCTTATTAGGATTAAACTTACTTTATGTCCTAGTATGTAAAAACTATTTTTATATTATATGTATGTATATATATATAAAAGTATTTTTAATAAAGATTTTTAGTACTTTCCTACATATTAGAATTGTTTTATTTAAACATTGGATAAATATTATTATAGGTAAGCTGCAGGTGTATCACGTCCAGTTAGATTAATTTTGAATGAAAAAAATCTTATTCACAAGCTTTGTGGAAAATTTTTACTACCATTAAGTTAAGATTATCGGGCCGCGGGCCAACTATTCGAGTAGGTATGTTTTCTATTCTCCTCAGGACTACGAAAAAGGAGCGAAATTTTATAACAAGGTACCTTGAAAAGTATGAGAAAATAGCCCATGAAACTACTACACCCGCATTTGGAACTTAGTTCAAAACGTTCACTACAAAAAGTATGGAAGGTTATTCGGTTCAAACGAGAGAATTTCAATTGGGAAATTAAATGACCTGATTAAACAAAGGAATGTTTGTTGTATGTAGGAATGGTAGGTACAACAAAAAGTTGGATTGTGAATACCTACTACTAACGTACCCATACAAGACTATAGCACATTTTTATTGACATTTTTATTTTTAATTCATCTTGCGAGAAAATATAACCCTTGAGATATTGACCGTCGTAAATTGCATGGTTTATACTTCCGTTTCATTTTGAAACACCCTCTATAATATAGGTACTTACAGAATTAGTATTTTTTTATAATATCAGATTCTATAATACAAACTTTACCAGCTTACACAATATTGTGAAAAATAGAATTCAAATTGCCTCGCCCTGGTTTTCTACTTCGCAGTCTTCACAGACACTGGGTTTTGATCAAAATTAAAATGTGAATTTTGTTGTGACAATACTGGAGGAACTCTGACATGATGAAGTGCAAGGATTCCCCTATTAGTTTTAGCAACGTCGCATCTATCATCTTGTACGAGGTAACAAGTCACGAGGTACCAAATTTGAGATTATGAATTCTAGGCTTCTAGGTCATGTAAATGGAGCCCCATGCGAATTATAGGTCACGTGAATGGGGCCTGGAGAAGCGCCAGAAATTGGAGACCGCATTGGTTTCACAACCTTGTTTTACCAAAATGGGGCTGTTGATATCCGCCATTTACCCGCTAAACTAAAAATGCCCTTCCGAAAAATAGAGCCTTCTGAAATGGGGCCTGGTGATACTGGTCTGGTCACTGGCCCCTTTCTGACGTCAGTACAATGGGCCCCATGATGCCAAACTTAAATGGGATCCCGAAAAATGGAACCCTCCTAAAAAATGGGGTCCTGGAAATTCAGGCAGGTCAGGTCAAAGATGATGACGCGTTGCCGGGGAATGACGCGTTTGCCGGGTGGCTTAGAACTTTCTAACTTACCCTACTTACGACCTGTCCACATCATATCATTTGTCAATCGTCCTGGATTTGTCAAATCCAGCCCTGAAAAATGCCAGGGCCCGTATTCTCGTCACCGGGGAACAGCGTTATCTCAAGAGAATGATTGGTCTGTCTTAGTCACCCATAATATTATTTCCATAATACTGACAAAGACAGAGCAATCGTTCTCTTGAGAAAACCCTGTTCCCCGGCTACGAGAATACGGGCCCAGATTCACTGACGAAAAATCCGCAACGGACGAAACGGGACCCAGCCATAAAACAAGAAGCCTACCGACTGTCAAGAGAAATCCGAGACGCTTTTCACGAGATCTGCAACAGGCAGAACAAGCTTGAGCAGCTAATAAAGGTCCAAAAAAGCCTCTCGATCTCGCCGATCGTCCACAACAACGCGACGGTTACGGAATCCCCCTGGCGGTGCTCGACGTCTTCCAAGAACAATTCTCTATCCACGGAGACATGTCAGTTCCAAACCTTCTCGAAATAGACCGCATACCTACAAACCCAGCCTCCTCGAAACGTCAACATCCCAACCGTCTACAGTGAGGAGGTCAATAGGAACTGACATCCACAGCCAATCCAAGAAAGGCACCAGGCCCGGAGAAAATCAAAAAAATCAATGGTCCTGCGGCAACTCGCTGACAAACAGATCCAGGAGCTCACAAGCATGCTGATAACGCAGCACTTACTCACACCTTGGAGAAACGCTGACGTCATTCTCATACAGCAAAACAACACAGCCAAGAACCAGCCGACCAACTACCGGCCAATCAGCCTGCTATCCAGCTTTAACAAAATAGCAAGGCAGATACTGCTCAGAAGGATCAACAACCACTAGAGAACAGGACTGTGCTCCCAGAACAACAGTTTGGATTCAGAGCATACCGTTCCGCAATAAACCAAACAATCCGTCTAGACAGAGTCAAGATATAATATTTGAACTTTGTGAGGAATCGAACAATAGAGCTCCATTATACAAAAACTATTGGGTAGCAGGTTTTCACCAATTTCACCCTAACCAAAGAAAAAAACACCTCAAGACAAAAAAAATTAGCCGATTCCGTGTAATAACTGTTCTAAAACATACATAGGAATAACTTCACAAAATAAAAAGGCGTGTTTACCAACAAAAATATGACTGTTATTATCATCATCATAGGCGATCACTTGATACCGAGTATGATTATCTTCTATTCTATTCTATTATCTTATTGTCGTCGATTCTGCTGCATTGTGCATTTTCTGATGGTTATATAAATCAATTACTGGAGCCCACACTCTTCGACAGTCTTGGCACACCCAGTCTCTGGCAGTATGGTCTCTTCCTCTGTTCTCTCGCTCCTTCCTGCGGTCCCTCTTTCCTGTCTCGTGTCTACGTCGCTGTTCTTCAAAATTTTGTGATCCATACTCGACGCCATGAGGGTCTATCATTTGCCGCCGTCTCCCAGTTGCTGATATCCATACGGCACTTAGCCATATTTTCCTTTAGAAAATCTTTGTAGCGTTTTTGTTGACCTTGATTTCGTTTTCCCTCTTTCAGTTGACTGTAGAGAATCTGTCGGAAGACGAGTTTTGGGCATGCGGACGAGGTAACCTGTCCAGCGAAGTTGATGCTTAATGATAAAAGCTAGTGGGATTTTTCTTGGATTTTTACGAGGATTTTTATGTCTCTTCTGTAGGTGGTTCATTTTTCGCAGCCATAAGTGTTGGTATTACAAATGCATAGTAGACGCGAAGTTTGGTATCAGCGCTGATGTCGTGATTGGTTGAAGACTGTCTCTAGAAGTCGCCCGAACGCCGCGCTAGCCGCCAAGGTATGGGTAGTTCTACGTTCTGCAAAGAATGATAATTTATAATTTATATTTATATTTAGGGCTTGGGGATTAGTATCCGGTGCGGGTTGGTGCAGAATGCGTGCGTCTTGTTAAAGTTGACCTCTAGGTTGATTCTCCTGCTGTATTTCTGGTTGAATGCATTGATAATTGCCTGAAAATTTTCCTCTGTATTGACCATCACGACGTTATCATATGCATATTAAAGTTCAATTATCGATGTCTTCGATACTCTTTGCTCATCGTATTCTGATTAGGTTGAACAAGCCGCCATCAAGTCTGTACAGGATTTCCACCACTCCTGACGGTAGTTGACCTTCGACAAAGTGAAGTATGGGTCTTATGAATAGAGAAAATAAAGTGGGTGCCAGTTCCAAAGTAGTTCCTGGACTCGTTACAATTTGTTTTGGGATTCAAGATATAATATTTGAACATTGTGGGGAATCGAACAATAGGGCTCCATAACGTACAAAAGCTATTGGAAAGCCGCGGTATTCACGGAAACCAAAGATAAAACACCTCAAGACAAAAAAAATTACCTGATTCATCTGTGTTATAACTGTTCTAGAACATACATTGGAATATTTTCACAACATATAAAAAGCGTACGTTTTCTAACAAAAATATGATTGTTATACAAGTTTAAGGGTATTGAATGCGCCGTTTAAAATATATTGTAACGCACGTCGAACTATACGACTCCCAACAAGTTAATGCTAATAAAGACGCGAGGTTCATCGCGATTATTGCATTGGGCTACTGTTGGGCCGGTTGGCCTTGGATCCTTCATGCTAGCGATTTAAAATTTATCGCAAATCAGGCGGAGGAAAGAGCCATAGGGTTTGCTGCGGGTATAACAGAGACAGGCAAAATGACAAGAAGAATTAAGTAAATTTCTACAAAAAAAACTAGATGATTTTTGGGATTCTGGTTTGTGCTATTGTATTGCTAACACACATAAGATTGGCGCTAAATAAAAAAGACACCTAAAATTGATTATATTACCTTGCATTTTTTGGGACTTACACCTCAATTGATATTAATACCAGAAGCTTCTTGATTCTGATACGAATTACTACAAGCTCTCTGATTAGAGCAATTTTACCTATCAGATTATTTTTATAAAATAAATTACTCGAATCGACTTTTTATAAACGAATCGAGTTTTATTATTTCAATAAAATAATACTTGATTGGGCTCGGTGGTATGAGTTCTGGATTTTTTGCTGACGTTTCGGTACCAAATCTGCTACCGTTGTCGAAGCTTGGGGGATGGAACACCTAAAAAATAAAAAAGGCAGAAAATTGTTCGGTTTTTTTCGTAAATTTGTTTGAATACTCGAATTTGAGTTATCAAGCAAAAATTACAAATTTGACTAATGTTGTGGACACAACACAATACTCAAATTCGAGTATTCAAACAAATTTACGAAAAAAACCGAACAATTTTCTGCCTTTTTTATTTTTTAGGTGTTCCATCCCCCAAGCTTCGACAACGGTAGCAGATTTGGTACCGAAACGTCAGCAAAAAATCCAGAACTCATACCACCGAGCCTAATCAAGTATTATTTTATTGAAATAATAAAACTCGATTCGTTTATAAAAAGTCGATTCGAGTAATTTATTTTATAAAAATAATCTGATAGGTAAAATTGCTCTAATCAGAGAGCTTGTAGTAATTCGTATCAGAATCAAGAAACTTCTGGTATTAATATCAATTGAGGTGTAAGTCCCAAAAAATGCAAGGTAATATTATAAATCCACCTCAAACATACAGACATTTGTTATAAATTGATTAATTTTCTCGTTTTTTTCCAGTTTAAATTACATTTTTGTAATTTTTCGAGAACTCGTTTCTATTACCGGATTTCTAAAAAGATAGCGCCATTCTTCCCTATATTATAAATCGAATGCAAAAAAGAAATTTGATATAACTTCAACTGCTAAAAAGTTACGTTGAAACTAAGAACGCAATGCATTCCTTGTTTCATTCATCTCATTCCCACTAAGGAGTATTAATAGGGGGGGAAGAATACAATGATAGACTGCGTTAGGTGCTTCGCGCAGGAAAAAATATTTTGGCATCGAGGCGCATTCAATCCCCTTAAAAGACCGTTTTAAGTAGGTATGCATCATTTTGAGGAAGGACATCATTTCGAATTTCAGGAGGTAAAGATTTTAGATGTGCTATATTCGTACGATGGAAATAATTCTGTCTCGAAGAAGGTAGCAGGAACAGAAGGTTCGCGATGTGACGTACCTATTTATCACTTCTAAATGGTACAGCTACATAAAAAAAAGTTATGTGTTTAGCAAAACGTGCTTTGACAAAGAACAAAGATTGAGGTAGTTACGAATATGGTTTATTTAATAAAATGTTTCTCCATAAAGTCCGAGAGACACTTGTCATACACCCCTCCGATGTTGCGCAGAATCGGATCGGAAAGGGGTGAGCATACATACTCGTTTCCGGCTTCTTTCCGATTTCCGGCTCCGGCTTGTTAAGCCAGGGACACATCTATCATGCATTCTTCCGATCCGACTCCGATCATACACTCAGGGTCCTTATTCTTGGAACAGGGAGGGTTCCGTCTTTCTCAATGATATGCAACTGATAATATGAGTAACGAAGACGGAACACTCGTTCTCCTCCAAGAATAAGGACCTTGATGGTTTGATCGGAGTCGGATCGGAAGAATGCATGATAGATGTGTCCCGGCCTTTACACTCGTCAAGGCCGGGACATACCTATTATGCATCCTTCCCATCCGACTCCGATCATACATTCGGACGAGTGTCTGAGAAGGGAATGGTGATACATTTCAAACAACGTAGTTCACAACTTTCCGGCACGTGCCCATCTCACTCCCACCCGAGTCCGCTCCTGCATCCGATCATGGTCCGATCGTGCAATCTATTCGTTTTCCAGCTGCGGGAGCAAGTGTCGCTTGGTGTTTGCGTAAGTTTTTTGAGGTGTCTTCTAAAATTGGAAAAAAGGACGGCTATGAGGGGAATGTGTGGAAAACTCTCTGCATTTTCCGCTGTTCTCCATAAAGGATTTCCGATTTTCTTTAGAAATCTCCTTCTTCTAAACAAAGCACCACCATGGCAATTTTTGAACATTTTGCACACAGAACCTTCCGCGATATTGCTTCAATCAAGTTCAATGGAATCAAAACTGCATGGCAAGTGTAAGGAGCCGAACCGGAAGTAAATCGGAAACGGAGTATGATATGTGTGATCACCCCGTTCCGATCCGATTCTTGAGGAAACATATCGGACCAGAGTCGGATCGAAGGGGTGTATGACAAGTGTGTCCCGGCCTTCCCTCCGCTATTCTTGATTCAAGCAATATCGCAGAAAGTCGTCGTCTCGTGACGTGTGTGCAAAATGTTCGAAAATTCTAGCAACTGAGATTTAGCCATAATGGCTTTGTTTAGAAGAAGAAGAAAAAAAAATCGGAGATCTTTTATGGAAAACAGCGGAAATCGTAGATTTTGGGTACATGCTGCTTGATAACACTTTTCCCTCCGCCGTAATTTTTCCCAATTTTAGCAAGATACCGCGAAAAACTTGAACAAACACAAAACGACACAGGGGACTCACTTGTCATACACCCCTCGGATCCAACTCCTGTCCGATAATGCCCCAAGAATCGGATCGGTGCGGCAATGGAAAGAGGTGAGCGCACATGTCATACTCGTTTCCGGCTTCTTTCCGATTTCCGGCTCGTTATACTCGCCACTCGCTATTCTTGATTCAAATAATATCGCGGATGGTCCTGTGTGCAAAATGTTCAAACATTTTAGTAAATGCTATTTAGCCATGGTTGCACTTTGTTTAGAAGAAGAAAATGAAAAAAATCGAAGATTTTTTTTGAAGAATAGAGGAAAACGCAGATTTTGCTGTTTGGAAAAAAAAATCTGCAGAATGATCGAGATGAGTGTTTTCCACACCTTTTCCTCATAGCCGTCATTTTTACCAATTTTAGCAAGACACCGCAAAAAAATTAAACAAACAGCCAGCTACTTGTGGTCCTGCAGCTGGAAAACGAATAACGAATAGATTACACGGAATTTACACGATCGGACCAGGATCGGATGCATGATCGGAGTCGGGTGGGAGCGGGGATAAGCACGTGCCGGAAAGGTGTGAACTGGGACCACGTGTCTGAAGGCCGGGACACACTTGTCATACACCCATCCGATCCGATGTTGCCCCAAGAATCGGATCGGTGCGAGATCGGAAAGGGGTGAGCACATATTTCATACTCGTTTCCGGCTTTTTACACTCGCCACTCGCCATCCTTGATTCAAACAAAACTCCGGAAGGTTCTGATCGGAAGGATGCATGATAGGTGTGTGGTGTGTCCCGGCCTTCATACACCTCTCCGATCCGACTCCAGTGAATCTTACCTTTCCAACCCGGTAGCCCACTTATTTCAGTCCTGTTTACGTCTCAAAGATTGAAAAAAAAAGTTTGGTGGTGCAACAAAAAAATTTTCAGAAGTTAGTTTTTCTCCCATTTTTGGGGATGAATCTACCCCCTTCAACTTTAACCCGGGGTCACACTTGTTTTGATATTTTATCATTATTTACGCCCAAAAAAATATTTTTAAAAAGGTTTGGTGGTGTAAAAAAAAAATTCAAAAGTTAAGTTTGAGGATTGAAATTTATATATTTCGGACTCAATTTGCATTTTGGAATGTTATGATTATTGAAATGGGGTTGACTCAAGTTATTCAATTTTAAAAACTTATTTTGGTAAATGACAATGATATTTTATTCATTAAAAAATCATAGGTATACCTACCTATGTAGGCACATAAATATTTTTAAAAAGGTTTGGTGGTATAAAAAAAAATCCAAAAGTTATGTTTGAAGATTGAAATTCATATATTTCGGACTTTATTTGCATTCTGGAATATTATGATTATTGAAATGGGCTTGACTCAAGTTATTCAATTTTAAAAACTTATTTTGGTAAATGACAATGATATTTTAGTTATTAAAAAATCATAGGTATACCTACCTATGTAGGAACATAATACATAAGTCAAGACCTAAGTACTTATGCAGTTTCAATTTTACACAGAGTATTATTAATTTTTTTATATATATTATTTTTTAAGTTTATCATTTTTGAGATCTTTTTCGGGTAGGTAGGTAGTCAATAAAAAAAATCAAATCAAATTATTACTGCTTTTATTAAGTAAATCAAATTCAATAGACATATCCTTAATATATATGTGTTGGAACGAAAACAAACTATACATTTCCTTTGCTGGTACTATTTCCCAGCTTCTGGACTATTCTTGCCAACAAGGTATTCTGAATTTTCTTTTGTTCCAACATTTTCTGTTCAACTCCAATTTTTACTTCCGCCTTTCTGTCAAAACTATCTAAACATACCAGTAACTGTTCACAGAAGGCACCATGACTTTTCAATATATCAGTGTTTACTTCCACATTGCTTATCATTGCTTTAGTAAGGTCTCCAATTAAATGCAAATTATTGGCTTTGGGATTTTCAGCACAGGCTTCTTTTTTTTTTTGCTGTGACAAATCAACTTTTCCAGTGAAAACGAAGTCTTTCTTGTCTTCGTCGTCGGAACCTCTTAGCTTCTTTTGAACTAATTTTTTATCATTTGCCATATATTTTTTGTTGTTTTCCTCAAATTCATCAGCTTGATCCATGTCTTCGTCAAATTTTATCTTGTGCTTAGTATCGCCAGGTTCCTTTTTGATCTGTGGTTGTTTTTCAAACTTCAATAAGTATTCAATTTCACTAAAAGAAAAGAAAAATAATTAGGTAAATTTGAAAACTTTTAACCACAATAAGGAAAAATAGGACATACTCGTCAAACAACTGTTTCTTGTAAGGAATTTTTTTTCTGCCTTTTCCAGTACGAGAGCGATTCAAACAAGTCAAGTATCTTCTCTTTAATGATTTCCATTTGTTCTCGCATTGCGCTGATGCATAAATGAAGCCTTTCTGCCTCAAGGCACGGCTGCAGTTTTCATATAAAATACGCTTGTAACCAAATTTTGAATTGTTTCCCTCCGATCGGTAATGCTTCTTCAAAAATTTCAACAGTTCTTCTATGGCTGCGTTTGGCCATTCAGCCACAGTCGGTCTTTCTTCCGCTAGAATCAGATTTATCAAATTTTACTCTAGAAAATATTTTATTTTGGCGCAAGTTTCGTTAAGATGAATTCAATTATATCAAGTAGATTAATGAGCATTGCATAAAAAAGATATGAGTGGTCTATTATTGATCGTTATAGAGCCTGCGTTTGAACCTCAAGTTTGAGGGTGGAGTGAAGCCCTATTGATCTTTTATCTACCCTATACATTTGATATGACTACGTTTATTTCAAGCATTGTATCCGGATACTAAGTGGATTGGATTAATAATGGGCATTCATAATCCTGAAATAATACCTAGGATTAGAGAAATAATCCAGATCGAAGTACTTAATCCAACCCTCCAAATTTGTAGGATTGGACTTGAATTGCACTATCTCGAATGTGAAATAAAACACTATAAATCTCGGATTTAAGAAGTTTGTAGCTAACTTCAAGAAAAATCACATTTGTCATTTGTAATTTTTTTTAAGGGTTGATGTTATTTAGTTTTATTTGAATATTTTTTGATGAAAAACCGGTGTGAGATAAGAAAATGTTCACCTTTTAATTGTTAGTTGAAACTTTTTTCCATCATTGTTGCCTTTTATGAAGTTAGACACAAAGCAATTTGCGCTTGCGCTTTTAACAAGGCTTAAAAAAGGATTAGCACTAATCTTAATCCATTTGATAGTTGTGAAATAAACGAATGTTGGTTAATTATCCTTAATCCACTTAGTATCCGGATACAACGCATGAAATAAACGCAGTCATTGAGAATCCCACCAAAATGAGTGGTACAGCTCCTAAACTGAGTCCTAAACAGTCCTGAAACTGCCAAAAACGATTTTTTTTCCATAGAGCCTGCGTTTGTACACTATGTCCCAAATTGCTTCTTATCACAGGGTTTCTCGATAACCAGCAAAGATAGAACCAAGGATAGAACTTTGCAGTTTTTGCGACCCTGTATCAGTATTTCGAACACCCTGTTAGATAGAAAAAAGGTGAAAACTGCTATGGATAGATATTTTTATGTAGAATCCAGTGGTGTATTCAACATTTTTTTTAGACAAACCGTTTTCGAGATATAGCCAAAACTTTGTATTTTTTAAACGGGACACCCGGTAGTTTTTGATTTCAAAAAATTCGCCTTTTTTTTTCTCTTGAAAATGATTTGGTACACTATACACTTGTGACGTAAACTAACCCCTAAAAACGCAATATTAGAAGAAAAACGTAAGTTTAAGATAAAAAAAACAACAGGGTGTCCCATTTAAAAAATACTAAGTTTGGACTTTATCTCAGAAAAGTTTTGTCTGAAAAAAAAACTATTTACTACACCAATGGTTTCTAAGTAAAAATATCTGTCTATAGCAGTATTCACCTTTTTTCTATCTTACAGGGTATCCAAAATATGACACCAACCCAGAAACTATGCGCTTAGTTTCTATTTCACTTTGTATCTCGGGAACGAAACAAGATCGCACCATTCTGTTTGCGGCATTTAAAATTTCACGAAAAACTGATACAGGGTCGTGAAAACCGCAAAGTTCTATATCTGCTAGTTACCAAGAAACTCTGATTACAATCATTTGGGACACAGACTTCTTCAAATTTGAGGGAGTAATTAAGAAGCCATATGACAGTGAAATAAATAAATTGTGTTTGTTTCGTTGTGACTTCGTAATTTTTCTTTTATTTTAGTTCGTATTTCCTTGCAATACCTAATTGCAAAAACATTAAATAAAATAACCCAGAGTCAGCCAAGCGACTGCGTTCCTGAATCCATATAGGTATTTATTTTTAGGAGCTGGCATTTCAGGAGATAGCTTCACGTACACTTGGCCAAACATAAAACTGGTACAGGCAATATATATTTTTCAAATTTGCCTAGTATGATTTAGGCCTAACAACAAAAAGTCTCTTCTGAAAAACTTAGGTCAGACAGTTTTTGTCAATGTCAAAGCTGAACAAAAGTAGATGGAACATATTTTTATCTTATGTTTGGTTCGAGGTTTGGTTCAAAGATGACACTGACTTGACTCTTTTTGTCATTTTTGAGGTGATAAAAAAGGTCGATTTACACAAAACAATACAATAGGAAAATGCGTACCAGTTTTATGATTGGCCAAGTGTACATGAAAAAATAGGATCCTCTGAGTGAGGACCCATCACTAGTACAACTTAATTAAGCTGGTTTTTTGTTTTATGATATCCAATGAATGCGTTTATACAAAATTTAATTTAACAGTTAATTTGGTCTCAGCCTGAAATCTAGAATAAAAAATAACTTTGCCCTGTTTTTTGAAATAAACAATAACCTTTTTCTTATTATTATAGACCTCGTTATAGACATGATAACTTTGCGCCTGTTTTTACATTTTAGGAGAGCCCATGAGAATATGTCGAAAAGAAAAGGAAAAGTTTGGTGTCAGAAGGTTCAGTTTTAAAATGGTTCAAATTCTATTTATGTGACAGATCTTAAATAGTTTAATATAAAAACAGTTTGTCTAATTCCATGTGTACTTAGTAAGAGCTACCACAAAGGACTGTTTTGGGGCCCTTATTGTTATCGCTTTATATCTTGCTGGTGTAGTTAGGGAAAGTAATGTAGAGTTGTTTGCTGATGACAGCATGATTTAAGTTAGGTACTGGTACTGGTAGGTACTGGTAAAAGCAGCTTGCTATGAATGATGCTTTGGGTAAACTGTTTGAATGGCTTCGCGATAATAACTTGAATAAAAATGCAACTAAATCCAAATTTGGTATTTTTGGTAAAAAGCATAGTTTAAGTTATCTAGATTTGAAAAATGTATGAGAAGAGAAGGAAATAAAGTATCTAGTATTGGTAATAATGGATTCTGAACAAACCTTCTAGGCACATGCACACCTAGTTACTTAATGAGAGAGTTATCAAAAAAACTATGCAGAGTGGCCAAGAATTTGTTGATGCAAACAAGGCTACTGTATATTTAAGTGTATTAATGGTATAGCTTCTCCACACTTTTGTACAACTTAGCAAACTTTATATGTTGTGGTCATTCAATTGAACTTTTTTGTATGTAGCATTTTTAATGCTTAATAAATGAACTATGAACATACCTAATTCAACCTCTTACAGTACTTCTAATACTTATGAGTTGGGAACATAATAGAATTAATAGGTAGGTATTGTATTAAGTTAGAGGATATTTTGGGAAAACACGAGTGTTTTGCCAAAGCTCCAACACACTGTTAATTACTCATACTATGAGTTTTGTATTGCTCTGACACGGTCAGATTTACGCAATACTTGGTGGTTTTGCTTTGTAAGACAATGGAGAAAACTGAATTCTCTTTCATTGGGTACTATCGCTAATTGCGAAGGTATTGTATTGTCAAAATTTTAAAGTTTTAAACTGTTATAGGCTTTTTTTTTAAATTTAAGGTTTTACTTGTTTTTGTTTCAATTTCTAGGCTTTTGTTTACATTTTGGTCATCGAAATGAACTTTTCTATGTAGCAATATTTTTAAATTAAAAAATGAATTATTATCAGTATTCACCAAATTTTGACAAAAGATTGCAAGTTTCAGAGGCAAATTCATACATTTCACGGGTCAAAAATTTAAATCTGGGAATATACAACAAAATGAAATCTTAAATTACTTAAATTAAATTGCTGCAGCTTTTTGTCTTATCACTCACCTCGTGTAACGTAAATTACTTCATGAGAACCAAAATCAACTTCTTTTAAATCCATTATTTGAAATTTCCAATTTCGTTAAGATCAGACTCAGAGCAAACCTGCTCCCAAATCAAAGGCTTCTGCTTTGGGTTTATGTTTTTTATGCTGTGCTCTGTGCTGTGCCAAGTTGGCAAAGGAAAAGCACTCAAAGCAGAACAGTGCAGAAGGCAAGATCCAACTTGCAACACCAAGAACCAAGTTTTAAATTGGAGTACACACCAGACGCCACTCGAAGCCAAATGCAAATAGATCAAGATCGACGAACAAAATGGCCGCGTTCTGATTGAACGGTGTTGGTTGCCCGCGTATGTTGGCTAGACCACAACGAGCACAACGTAAAGTGTTCTCGTTAAGCGCAACTCCAAGCCGGAAGCCGCAATTAGACAGTTGACATGTACCTACGCCAGGAGTCCGTTCATAAATACATGCCGGGTGATAGTTAAAAGATAAAGCAACGTATAGTTAGCAAACAGTTGAGAAGAATATTTAAATAATAGTACTCAATCGTTTGGAAATCATTTGGAAATATTTGGAAACCTATTTTCCGAGTTTGGAAACCTATAGAATTTCAATAATCATCAATAAATAATTAAGTGTATAGTTGGCAGACTCAATAATAAATTCCACAATAATTATACTAAATCATTTGGAAATATTCGGAAACCTATATTTAGAGTTTGGAAACCAACCATTTTTTATTTATCATCAAATAATTATTGTTTTTAGTTGGTTGTTGGTTCATGCGTTACATGCGTATCTCTATAACCGAATTTCCGTGCCGAACTACTTCCATGATTTCATGAGCGCAAACGCTTTCGCGAGAAACTCATGACGTCATATTGAACGTAGTTCGCCGGAAGCATGGACGCAGCTTATAGCCAGCGTTCAAACTCATGACGTCACAAGAGGAACTATGGTTCGTCCTTGGATGAACCAAGAACGATAAACCACAGCTGAGGATGGTCACATCGGCGATTTTTTCCGCCAGCTTTACTCTAAAAAACAGAGTGTTGGAAAGCGCGCATTTATAAACTCGGTTACGCTACACCAAGGATATTACACACTACTACAGAATTGCTCATCGGCCTCGATTTTTGAATCAAGTTCATTCGGTGTTGCATAAACATAATAGGGAAAAGAAGAAGATGCAAACGAGTTAATCAAGGGTTTTTTCATCACCAGTTTTATTCCTTCCAGACCTAAGAGGAGCTCCGGGGGTTACGCGCTTATTCCTTCCGAAAGTGTTTGTTGCACTTGAAGTGCTCAAGCACGCACTCAAACCATTAAGGGCGGGTATTATAAAACTGCATTGACAGTTAACTTGAAGTTAACTTTTTGAATTACATGTAATTCTAGAAGTTAGCTTTAAGTTAACTCTCAAAATAGTTTTATAATACCCGCCCTTAAATGCACGCAAACCAGCGCAACTGTCCCTTTCAAATCGGGGTCGACTAACACCGTAGCGAGTAGCTCTAGTGTTGTAAACTCTTGAAAGGAATACAACTACTGCATAAAAAACAAAGAAGTATGGTGAATATAACAAAAGCATTCGACCGTCACCATTTTAAACTTATGAGCGTGAAAAAAAAAAAACACAAATTCGGTAGTCAATGAATTCAAACATGTGTTACCTAGAGATAGATAAGAGGAAAAGGTATATTTATTTCTCAATCCCGTCTTAAAAAGTTAATCCTACTTTTCAAAAGAATTGAATTTGAAACGAAAAATAACACATGGGAAAATTGACAGATAACCTGAGTTCAAGAGCGCGTTCATATGTTGTGCGATGGTAAGGTGAAGACAGGTGCCGTAGACTATGGTGACATTCATCAGGACATTCTTGATTGATCGTAGCGTAGCCAAATAAAGCCTAGTACTCATAACTGCGAAATTCGCATTTTTTTGACATTGGTTCGACAATTTGACGTTTGATACACGCATAAAACGTCAGATTGTCAACGCAATGTCACAAAAATGCGAATTTCGCAGTTATGAGTACTAGGCTTAAGGGTGGGTATTATAAAACTGCTTTGACAGTTAACTTGAAGTTAACTTTTTGAATTACATGTAATTCCAGAAGTTAACTTTAAGTTAACTCTCAAAGAAGTTTTATAATACCCGCCCTCTAAAATTATGATGGAAAAAATGACCTTTCGTCAAGAAGCGATGCCATCATCCTTTGACAAAACAGGCGTACATCGAAAATTGTAGATCGCTACAGAAGCGCTACTACAGTGACTAAGGGACGAATTTATAGTAGTTGTTCCTTGGCACTTCCTTGAAGGTCGTGAGTTTAGAATGGACACTTGCTATTATTTGACAAGTTAGTCATGGCAATTCTAAACGTTCAAGGCTTCCTTAAGGTCTGAGGAAACCTCAAGGAGCGACTATTTTGGCCCTAAATAAACCTTTACAAACAGTGGCGAGAATAGAGGTCCCGCCGGCCGCCGCCGCCGCCAGTTTGGGGCTAACCTCTTGCTTATTTTAAATTTGAATATATGGAATTTAAATGGACATTCATAATAAAAAATTGTGCGGCCAAATTTGGCCCGATACGGTTCACGTTTGGTCCGTACGCAAAGATACTTAGCTCCCGGTCCCATGCGTACGTGAACGCGAATTTGATGTTATTGCGCGCTCAGTTAAAATGGCGATTTTCAGCATATTTCTTTGTCCAGTAATTTTAGAACGCCCTGGGTCATTGACGAATTATGGCCGTAGCACCGACCATTTTAAGGGAGATTTAAGAATAATCAACGCTTAAAGTGGCATTTTCACACATAAAAATATCACTTTAAGCGTTAACTATCATTAAACCTCCCTAAGGGTAGGTTTCTCAATAGCGAGTTACCTCCGGGGTGATTTCAACTTCAGAGCCGTTTTCTCGCGTCAACTTTCTTCAAAACAGGCTTGAAACGAGCAATGGTAACACCATAAACCCTTTTCACATGGCTCCGGTTTAACAAACCGCAACATACCGCTCAAATTCGAGTGATAGGTATCCATCACGTCACTTTGTAACCGGGTTAGAAAACGGTATGTCATTTCTCTAACCGTTTTGTAACCCGGTTAGTTAAACCGGAGCCACGTGAAAAGAACTATTGCCCGATTCAAAATTGTTTTGAACCAATGTCATAAAAGTGGACGCGAGAAAACGGCTCAGGATAAACGTGTCTAGTTGCAATGTTTACCCTGGAGATATGCCTAATTCGGGGATGACTTGCTATTGAGAAACCGGCCCTTAAAAGGGTGGGTGCAAACCAAGGATGATACACACTACTACTACAGGATGGCCTATGTGTAACAAATCCCCCCCCCCCCGTTAAACAACCAGTTGTAACGTAAGCAGCATGGCGTTTCTCGACTTGACGTAGGCTGTTTAAACAGCTGACGACTTAGTTATGACGTCGGCAATGGTTGAAAACCAATATGGCGGTGATTACCAAAAACGGGGCCGATAAGCACTCCTTAGAGCAAAGTCTCTTAGGGCGGGTATTATAAAACTGCTTTGACAGTTAACTTGAAGTTAACTTTTTGAATTACATGTAATTCCAGAAGTTAACTTTAAGTTAACTGTCAAAGTAGTTTTACAATACCCGCCCTTAGAGTGTGTATTCTCCTTGGATGCAAACGGCCATGAAGGAGCGCTCACGTATGACGTCATTCATTTTACCTTGGCAGTTTTTGAACGTATTTGGTTCGCCCCGAATCATGTTTGAGAGAGGTAGGTTGCCTTACAGTGACTAAATAAATCTTTACATACAGTGGCGACAATAGAGGTCCCGCCGCCATTTTGTGCTCAACCTCTTGTTACTTTTAATTATGAATATATAGGATTTAAATGGACATCCATCATAAAAAATTGAAAATAACGTATTCAATTACTATTATTAGGTACATCAAATACGTTGTTTTCAATTTCCTGTGGTTGATGTCCATTTAAATCCTATAAGCCTTTTCACGTGGCTCCGGTTTAACGAACCGCAACATACCGCTCAAATTCGAGTGGTAGGCTATAGTGGTAGGTATCCATTACGTCACTTTGTAACCGGGTTAGAAAACGTTATGTCATTTCTCTAACCGTTCTGTAACCCGGAGCCACGTGAAAAGAACTTATATATTTATATTTAAAAAGGAGCAAGAGGTAGGGCACAAAATGGCGGTAATTCCCATATGAAAATATAGGATTTTATGTAACCAATCGAAAATAAGACAGCAATTGTCGTCACTGTGGTTTAATAAAGTCACTGTAGATTGCGTGATAACTTTATAACGTCATCGGGGTTGCCTCAACATAACGCAATTCTCCATGAGGCACCCCAGATGCGTCATCAAGTTAAAGCCTAGTACTCATAACTGCGAAATTCGCATTTTTTTGACATTGCGTTGACATTTTGACGTTTTATGCGTGTATCAAACGTCAAATTGTCGAAGCAATGTCAAAAAAATGCGAATTTCGCAGTTATGAGTACTAGGATTACGGTAGGATTTTTAACTATCCAGCATTGCGGTATGCGGCAGCGGTGTGCGGTACTGCGATGTTGCGGTATCGCAATCCGCATGCTGTTGGCGGCAAATTTGTTTTTTAACTGACAGCTACTCGTGGTACTATTACTGCGATTCTCTTGCTCGAAGAAGATGAAGAAGAAAAAGCTGTATTTCATTGTTGTGAAAATCGCAGTGAAATATCAAACATTTATAAAAGTTGTGCACAAGAAGGAGCGTATTTTCATTGAACGTCACTTAAATGATATAACGACAAAGCCTCAAACCTGTAGTATTTTGCCAGGCCGTGGGGCGTCGCACACGACTGCGGTGTCGTCGAAAAACATTTTGGAGTTTTTGTGCGGCACGCCGCAAAGACAGCTTGCGACGCCGCAGTGCCGTTGCCGCATTAACGCATGGTAACAAAACAGTTCGATGTTACAACATGGTAGACAACTCACCGGCACGTCGCAAAGCCGCACACTACTGCACACCGCAATGCCGGATAGTTAAAAATCCTACCTTTACCCATTAGCAGGCAACCGATTAACTTTAGGAACCTTGACCCCGTATAACTTCCTCGGGTAGGGATTTATAAATGCATTCCACAGGAGCAACCTAGGTCGATTTTTTGTGGGTCACTCCAGATTAATCTGTAACGTCATAAATATGAACTTACGTCGCCCTACACATCGATGAACGCGCTCCAACCGTCTACATTCAACTGCCTGAATTTTCCTGTGGGCTTTTTTGAACTAAAGTCTAAATACATCTGCTGTACATCTGCATTTGCTATTATTATTTGTTCCCAAAAAAAATAATGTTCTGCTTTTGTTCACCTGAACAATTTTCTTATCGATTGTGAAAAGCTCTGGCCCAATTGACAAGAGTACAGTGGCTAAATAAACCTTTACATACAGTGGCGACAATAGAGGTCCCGCCGCCATCTTGTTCCCAACCTCTTGTTACTTTTAAATATTAATATATAGGATTTAAATGGATATCTATCATAAAAAATTGAAGTCGACGTAATTAATGACCATTATTAGTTCCATCATCCGTTGTTTTCCATGATTTATGATGAATGTTCACCTAAATCCCATATATTCATATTTAAAAGTAACAAGGGGTTGGGAACAAGATGGCAGCGTTTTCAATATAAATATATGGGATTTTAGAACCAATCAAAAATGAGACAGCAATTGTCGCCACTGTGGGTTATAGAGTCACTGTAGACAAGAGAACCGTTTCAGAACCACTAATTTTCAGTGGCCCACCTATTTTTCAATAAGTTGAACGTTTATCCTATTTGACAAATGAATTCATCGAATGGGAAATCACCGTTCTAGAACGGTTCCCATGTCGTATGGAACACAGCTATTGTCAATATTGTCATGGTAACGGGAAACGGTTTCTCAAGAACATCAACAACAACAAAACTAAAGTTTTAAATATTCATTTTGATTTACAAAGATGTTTTTGTATTTAAGTAAAAAGGTGAAAAAACTGAAAATTAAGTATGTTTGAAATATTACTTTTACGAATATTACCCAATTTTCAGATTGCCATACCAAATAATACAAAAATACATTGCTTGGATTGGAACAAACGCGATGGTTACATAGCTGTTGGTGGTGATAATGGCCTTTTAAAAGTTCTGAAACTAGATTCAGGTACATATTTATATTATTATATCATTTAAACATTTGATCAAATATTTTACTTGCAAGGTAACGACAATGGTCTAAAAAGCAGAAAACTTGCAGTGACAAGTAATTTGTCAATGAACCAAACTCTTGAAGGGCACACACATGCAATCAAAGTTTTAACTTGGAATGAAACTCACAAAAAGTTAACTACAAGTGATTCCAATGGAGTTATAATCGTTTGGATGCTTTATAAGGTATAATATCCTATGTATGGATAGTAGCTTCTAAACACTAGAATATAAAATATAATAATAAGACTATTATATACCTAATGGCTTGCCTAATGGTATATAATAGTCCCATCATGGCATCATATTATGTAAGGTTGCAGTGAATCACTTATGCCAGTTTTTATTTAAGTTTATAATAATAATGTATAATGTATGTTACCTGTATTTTTGTATTATTATCAAGTCAGTATCTGTAATTGGCACTGCTGTTGGTACTTAGAAAAAATAAATTACATACATACATACATAGGTATTATTCTTGGTATCTCTATTCTGTAAACTTTTCTACTTTCCATCGTATGTAGCCATGTAGGTACAGCTTAGTCAACTTTTTTTTATTCTTTTGCTGGTTTCAAAGACTCTTCGAAGGTCTGAAAACACAGCAATTTTTCTGTCTCCAATGATTGTACTCTATGACCACAATAACCTTTAATTCAACAAAAAGCTGCCCCCTGCGATTGCAGCATAGCATTAGAGATGACAGTTTGTAAGACTGACCAAAAGTCCTTACAAGAGACTACGAAGCAAGAAAATTCTAGGGAAAATAGTCTTATAATAAGACAGTACTTATTTTTATTCCCAAGACATGAGTAGAACATGGAACATAGGCATTTGTAATGGGTCTTCAAAAAAAAAAATCATATAAAAGAATGCTTTGATTCCGAAAATGTATGTCGCATTATTATTTCTTTATTGGTCAGGATTTCTGACATGATATTTTGACACAAAATTCAATGACAAAATTAAAGAATATTGCTAAGACATAGGTTTAACAAATCATAGCCATCTTTGATTCACTTTTTTTTTTGAAGACTGGTTAGTTTCCGATTGTGGCAAGTGGCAATTCCTGTAATTGGTCCAATTCTCTCCAACAGCTGAGTAATTACTCAATACTCACTTAATTTCTGTATGTAATCTTCACTAGAAACAAGTTCAGCTAATACTGCTTCAAACTATTTTTCAAATTCTAGGGTGCCTGGTATGAAGAAATGATAAACAACCGAAAAAAATCAACAGTAGTAGGAATGTCTTGGAGTAGCGATGGTCAGAAAATCTGTATAATATATGAAGATGGAGCTGTCATTGTAGGTGGTGTGGGCGGTAGCAGAATTTGGGGAAAAGAATTGAAACACACAGCTCTTTGTGGGGTACAATGGTCTCCTGATGCCAAACTCCTCTTATTTGCACTAAAAAATGGCCAGCTACATTTGTATGACAATCAAGGAAACTTTGTAATGAAACTTGGTGTATTATGTCAGGAAAGTCAATATGACACTGTAGCAATTATCGGACTAGCTTGGTATAATGGCACAGGTGGAATCATGCATTCCATGTGTCCCACTTTGGCAATATGCTTTGAAAATGGGAAAGCACAACTTATGAGAAATGAAGCTGATTCAAGTATGTTTTTTGATATAAATTGTTTTTGGATAAGACTAATCTTCGAAATAATTTTTTTTCCAGATCCTGTGTTGTTAGATACTAAGATGTTTGCAGTACATTGCAGTTGGAATCACAATGGTTCTTTGCTTGCTATAGCTGGAAAACAGTTTGCTGAGGAAAAAGAAGTTAACTTAGTTCAGTTTTATAACTCATTTGGGGAGGTAGGTACTGTAAGAAATAGTTTGTCTATCATTTTGAATGGATGTTCTCAATTTTAGAATTTAAGGACTCTAAGGGTACCAGGGTCTTCAATATCTTGTTGTGTGTGGGAAGGTGGTTCTCTTCGAGTTGCTTTGGCTGTAGACTCGTTTGTATATTTTGCAAATATTCGTCCTGACTATAAATGGTGTTATTTTAAAAAAACTGTGGTTTTCACTTCGTGTAAACCTGGAAGATCCGGAGTGTGCATCACTTTTTGGGATACTACAAATAATTCGGTAATTCGTTTCTTGTAATTAAAAGTACTTTAACTGAAAAGACATTTCAGTGTCATGTCAGATGGGTTGACACATTAAATGCAATAGCTGCACATGGCGAATATTGTGTTGTTGCTGCTCAATCGGATGCAGACGCTGTAGGAAGATATGATCTGGTGCTTTACAATACCCTTGGAACAGCAGTAGATGGAAAATATATTCATATAGATCCTCTAGGAGTATCGATGAATTCCTATCAGGTTTTTGCAGCCTCAAAAAATCATTTCGTTGTTTGGCATTATAAAACTCCAAAGTCAATCGTAGGTGAGTAGTAAGTTTTGTATATGCATTTGACTTTTTATTCAGTCATATGAATAATGTGTAGTAAATGGTAAATGCTTTTACTCTAACTCCGCCTCTTTTTGCTGCATTAATACGCTGAATACGTTTATCTCAAAAAACTTAAGTAAAAGCATTTGGTTCTGTTTTATTCATATGGGCCATTGACTATTAATACCTACATAATATGTGCTCGTTTATGTGATTAAATATTAACATAACCCAAAAATATATTTAGCAAAATTAGGAAAATGTTTAGTAGGTATTTATTTCATTTTCTTGTCTGCCCAATCTAGATTCAAATTATTTTCAGTTATTATTCTCTAAAATTCTGCATTTACCTTGTTCATTTAATAGGTGACAGAGTTGAATATAATCAAACCCTACTAAATAATAATAGGTCTGTTTCTGCAGAAATCACAAACCAGTCAGAATGAATTTCATTGGTTGAAACTAGTTTGCTGACTGTTTCTGACTGTTTTCAACCAATGATATTCGCTCTGACTGGTTTGTGATTTCTGCAGAAACAGACCTAATATATTGAGAAATATGTCTGCTCATTATTATATTATGACCCTGTTGAACAAATTATCACTTTACCCTACACTCTTAGAATCAAATCACGGAATCCAATCTCAAACCAGAAACTCAACTTTAGCTTAACCCAGACCCAACTGAGCAAAAAAGGAGCAACTGACCGATTCAGTATTGTCAGCAGAAAATCATTAGTTCATAGACCTGGGTCGTTGCCGCCTAGATATTTGTTAACATACTGGAACGCCGTTGCCCAATACTTCTAAATTCCTGATGCATCAGATATCTGATAGAGGTCCACTTTAAGACAATACGATATAGCCTTGATGAAGACTTGATAAAAGTAAAAACGGCGGTAATTTCTCGGGTATTCGAAAAAATACAGGGAGTTTGCGTTATCATTTGTCTCAAACCCGCTACCTACCAATTTGAATGAGTTTTTTCCATTTAACAGCGAGAAATGATTTAAGGTAAAGGCACCAGTAATCAACATTATTAGGCGTTCTTATGGAATTTTGATTTTTTTTTTGGGGATAACCGGTTATCGACAATAATTATCCAGTTACCGACACACCAGTAATCGACATAAAAAAAAACAGAAAAAAAACGTTTAAACACCTTTATTTGGATAGTTTGCGGGAAAATTAGTTAAACTTTCGTCAATCGGTGGGCTACTAAAATGCTGTTGATAAATGAAACTTTATTATGCAATCATACTGCCTAATCCAAAGTAAAAAAAGCCCAGCATTATGACATCCCTAATCAGATTGTAATACTTCATATCTATTAACGTCGTTTTAGTAATGTTACATTCAACGGCAAATGGGAGTTCTTCTTTTGGTGGTATTTCTCTGAAAAAAAAGGCAAATAATTAGTCACGAAATAAAACAAAGAAATTGTCGAATCATCGGAGAAAAAAACTTAGCCAAATCATTATTAAAAATTAAAAATAATAGAACCAAAACAGAGCCCTGAGTTACTATTAAATACATTAAAAAATTAGTCCAAACTTGCCTATGTCGCCCTCCCTTTCATTGAGAAAAATAGTTTTAAAGAATACATATTTTTCTAACCAGTTTGATGCATGTCTTTTAATTTCTTTCCGCAACTTTTCAAGAGGATAAACAAATGAAATCCCAAAAATTGAAATTATCACGTTTATGCTTACCATTATAACGGAAAAGGTTTTACTATAAAACGCTTGAATTACTGCGTAAACATCTCAAACCGTTTTAAAGGAGTGCCAGCACTGCTTGTTATGACATTTAAAAACTGTTTTGGGGAAAGCTCCATAGAAGTATGAACACAGGATGAAACGTTTCAGGTTCGAACTTGGTAAATGAAAATCTAATTTTTTTTAGTCAGCTCAGCAAGATCAAGGTTAATCCACATCGATGACAACCCTTCTGGGGCAGTTGAAATAATTCATGACCTTGACGGATCAAGTCAAGTTTCAGTAAGCAGTCATCAAACTATTGATCCTATATGTTGTCTGGCATCTAGTGATAGTTGTCTTATAATTGGAAGAGAGTCTGGACTCATACACTATTATGTGTTACCTCATGTTGTTCTTACTTATCGTTATAAGATTGCTACAAGACTTCATAAATTGGCAATAAACTCTAATTCTACGTAAGAATTTCATATAAATTTGATAGTCAAATTTAAAAATAAATTGTGTTTAAAACTTCCAGGAGATTGTCAATAATAGATGTGTCTGGAGTAATGACTGTCTTAGATATATCTAACGGTTCTGGTAGATCTTCACCAGCTAAAGAAGCAAATAAATTAGAGAGAAAAGATGTTTGGGCTATGTGCTGGGCATCTGATAATCCTCAGCTTTTGGCTATTATGGAAAAAACTAGAATGTATATTTTTAAAGGCATGTATCCGGAGGAACCTGTAGCCTGTTCCGGATATATCTGCAGTTTTAATGTAATATAATATAAATTAACAAACATTGTATTTGTATCAATTATTGTACTTAATAAATAATTTTGTAGGACTTGGAAGTTGAAGCGGTTCTTCTGGATGAGGTGATAGATAATTCTGAAAAGCCTAGCAAAGATTATTTGATAAAATTGGAGACGAAAAGCCTTAGAGACACAAGACAACTTTTAGAGAAGGTTGGTGTTAATGAAGCTTCTCAGTTTGTTGAGGACAATAGACATCCAAGACTCTGGTTGGAATTTTAAAAAAATATATAACTTCATGAATTAATTTTTTTGTGTTGCAGGAGATTAGTAGCTGAAGCTGCTTTGAAAGAAATGCTTCTATCCACTGCTGATGCCTGTTTTGTAAGAGCTAAAGATTATTCTAATGTGCAATTTGTTAAAAAAATAAGAGCAATCAATAATGAAGCTATAAGGAAAGCAGAAGTGGCTACCTATTTTGGAGATTTTGATAAAGCTGAGAAAATTTATATTGAAGCTGACAGAAGGTAGAAATAAATGCAATTAATTAAAAATTTATTTAATTTCTCCACTCATAGTGAATGATTCTTTTTGCCGCATATTATTTTCGGCATTACATCGTTTCATTCATCATCGTCTCATACATGCAGATTGCCCTCATACAAAGAAAAATCACAAAATCTCTTTTGCCATTAGGTAGTTTAAAGGATTACGTTGGGATTCTAGGGGTTTTAATAAGAGAACATAAAATCGCAATTGGAAAGATTGTAGCTTTAGGAACATGTTAACAAGAATTTTATTTTTCTGTAGTGACTTGGCCCTTAACCTACGCCAAATACTAGGCGACTGGTTCAGAGTAATCCAAATACTTAAAAATGGTGTTACTGCTCCTGATGATTTATTGAAAACAGCATATAACTCAACTGCAGATTATTTTTATCACTTTAATAATTGGTATGTGTTTTTTTTTTATGTATTTCGTGTTTAATTTCCATAAAATATATTTCTAGGGCATCTGCAATAGAATATTATGATCTTGCCAAAAACGCAACACAAATTATCAACTGTTATTATCATTTGGAAGACTGGAAAAATTTGGAACTTATGATCGATCAATTACCAGAAGGTGATCCTCTTCTAGAGAAAATCGGCGATATGTTTGCCTCAAGTGCAGTCCATATAGAAGCAGTAAAGGCATATACTAAGGTACAAATAGCAACAATTTGATATTGAAACTTTTTAATACATCATTTGTTTGACCTAACTTTCACACGACCGACTAAAATCAATTTACATTGTGACATTGTTGCGTGAGTTAAAGATTCATTAAATCAGAACAAATTCACTTTATCTCAATGAAAAAGCAGACTTGAGTCATAAACCAATAACCTGCATGCTGGAGATGTATGTAAGGAAATAAAATTATTACTTAAGTCATACAAAATACATACAGAATGTACCTGATATAGCACGATTAAAAGAAACGAAATATGCAACAGGTCAAAAATCCTTCAATAAATCGAAAACGTTAGACACCACAGCTATTATGAGGTCAGCGTCCTTCGTCGATGGTCACCTATCTTGTGATCACGCGAAGACAAGATCTACAAAATACGAATTTGTTTTCTTCAATGTTCATCAAAATTTAATTTTTTAATTTGATACACATTTAAATACTTATCATTGCTACAAATGAGAGCAAGTAAAATCATTCTGTTGAAACATTTGATATTGCATGTAAATATATAGGGATTGTTATCACATCTGGATGCGTTAATACAAATACAAATTGTACAGAAAAAGGTTCTGGAGGTAGCATAATCTACAAAAAGAAACATCTAAAGTACAAAATTGTGTTTTGTGATTAAGTGGACTATAATTATTGGGCAGTAGCAATTATGTTTCAAGTTCCAAGTTAGTAAGGACACAATTTGTTGTTCTGCACTGTATAGATCACCGAATGCCCCGGCCAGGGAACTTTTAAGGTATCTAGAAGAGAAATCAGATGATGAGCTGTTTCTCGAACATAGGTCAGTTTTTATGGTGATCTAAACATAGGCCACATAAAGAACGGCGAATGCTGCTGGCTTGAAATAACTGGTAACAATTACGAACTCCCGTTTAACAAATCCATCAGCTACTTCAATCAATTACATAATACGATACAAGAAGTCATTAGAAAATTTCCAGTAATAACCGATTATGATATCATTGGGTTGAAATGGAGTTCTCTTCTGGGCAGCCTGTACCTGCAAGAGGATTTTTATAATCAAAATCTATGAAAATATTAATTGAATAATACAGGAGCTTATAAGAAGAAAGTGGAATTGTACGTCAACTGATTTAATTGTTATTTATTTTGATTTTATCAAAACTATACAACAAACTATGGATACATTGACACCACTGCAGAAGGTCCGGTAAGTAGGTAGGTATCTGCAGTTTGGAGGAAATATATCAATGAACTTAAAATAACTTTGAGTGTTTCTGTAAATTTAAAACACGCGTTTGTATACCGGAATATTCTTATCGAAAAATTATCTTTGTATGGATTAACGAATCGGGCATCGTAAAACTAATGTCCGCGATACACTTTCTTTTTTATGGTAATATTGATATATAGGGTGATTTACGTAGCCCGTGCATTAGAAGTTTTTGAGCTTGCAGAGGGATTAGAAACTTCAAATTTGGTTTGTAGCCATAATCAATCATTCCAGTGTCACCTAAAATATTTTCAGATGTTCAACTATACAGGGTGTACCAAATGTAAGCACTAACTTTCTTATTTCAAATAGAAACATGCATCTATTTCAACATAGTTCGGTTGGCCTTGCAATTTTGAGTTTGGACCACCCAGGTTTGGTCAACTTATCTCTTATAGTTTTTTACATAAATGTCTTTTTTTTTTGTTTCAAATTGCCGCTGCAGTTGTTCAGGAAAAACAGTGTTTCTTGAAAACCGTTCCAAAATAATAATGTAATGCAATTTTTCCATGTTCAATGTTTGTTGGAAAATGTCTAAATATCTATTTTTTTTTCCAGGCAGGAAAAATTAAACCTGCAATCGATTTGTGTATCCTACACAACAGATGGGATGTTGCAATAGATCTGGCCAGAAAACACAACATTGGCAAAATACAGGATCTGCTAATCAAGTACACCAATCACTTAATTGAACAAAATCAGATTATGACGACTATAGAGATAAACATACAAGCTAAGTTTTTCTCGCTGGCAGCTGAACATGCTTTTAAGGTAAATCTGAGAATTATTTTCACTTATTATTATTTATTAGGTTAATTTTGAATGTTTTGGTTCTAATACTTCTAATTATACATCCTTCTGTATAACACTTTTATTTTCTAAGGCCAACAAATAGTTATGTTGATTTTTAGTTAGCAAAAGCAAATTCCAAAAAGACCAACAAAAGTCTTATAAAAATTTTAAAACATTATGTATATGCAGCGCGTTTGGTAGAAATGCATAAAAGTTCGGGGCATTCAGGTAAAACCTCAATCATTTTTAGAAGAAAATACTTACAACAATTTTTTTCAGGAGATATTGAAAACTACGATCCTCTCCTATACGAAATCGCCTGGAAAGGCGCTGAAGCCTATCATTATTTTATTTTAGCCCACAACCAATTATATGCAGGAAAAATTCATGATGCTTTACGGATCGCCTACAAACTCCAAGACTACACTGATTTTATTCCTGAAATTGAAATTTATTCTTTATTAGCGCTTACAGCTTGTCTTGATAGATCTTTCGCTATATGCTCTAAGGCTCTGATGAAACTCAAATCTATAGATAGCGTAAGTTATACTTATTTGTTAATGTTTTTCCTTTCTGTCACAAAAATATTTGGTTAGTTAACAGCTCTAGAAAAGGAGCAATATTGCAAATTAGCTTGGGATATATTTCGTCAGAATGAGCCAGTTAACATTAAGAGAAAAATGATAAAATGTGATAATTGCGACAGCAGCGTTCAAGATTGGTGAGATTGTATTTCATAACCTTTTTGGACTGATTAATAACTATTCATATTTGCAGGAACACAGCTTGTCCGAACTGCAAAATACATTTCCCTACCTGTGTTGCTACAGGTTTATCTATAATTGGATCACCTATTTGGTCTTGCAAAGTCTGTAAACATCCAGCGCTTCAAAGAAAAATGGAGTTATTGAATGCATGTCCTCTTTGTCATGCAAAACATGACAAGCAATAATTTATTGTTAGATACTGAATTTTTTGTATTATAAGCACTTTATAGTATTGTCAATAAAAGTTATGCGCAAAATGTATTTTGTTAAGCAATTCAGGTTTTAAATTTATTTTAACCCCTCATTTTGTGGTATTACAAAAAGGCTTTGTTTTTACAGTTGTACTGCTTTGCTTGATTGACAATATTAGCGTTCATAATATGTCTCGAATTGATAATAAAGTTTTGCTTGTACATAATTCAGACATCTTGCGCTTGATTAAAATATCGACACTTGCAAAACAAAATTTACACAAAAAAGTATTTTAAAGACTCACCAACTAATACACTCCGATATTCGTCATTTTGAATGTACCATGTACCACTTGCAAAGCGAAATTTAAACAAAGAGGCGACTTGAAAAATCACAAATTGACACACTCGGACATTTATCTTTTTAAATGTGACACTTGCAAAGCAAAATTTAAACGAAAAGGCGAATTGAAAAGTCACAAACTGATACACTCGCATATTTATTCTTTTGAATGTGAATGAAACACTTGCAAAGCAAAATTTAAACGAAAACTCTAGTTGAAGAATCACCAACTGATACACTCGGAGATTTTTCCTTTTGAATGTGACACTTGTAAAGCAAAATTTAAACGAGAAGACAAATTGAAGAATCACATACTAACACATTTGGATATTTATCCTTTTGAATGTGGCATGTCAGCCAACTGGGCCTACAAGTTTCAAAAAGTGGAACAACTTTAGAGTTTATCAACAAAACATGTCCAACTCAAATAAATTGAGTCAAAAAGTGTTTAGAATTACTTTAAATGATTGGTTAAACGAGAACGTAAAATTCATCCATTTTTAATTCGCAACTGGCAGGGACGGGGCCATGGGGGGCAACGCCCCCCCCCCCCCCAAAGTTCCTAAAATATATCGAAAGTTGGGAAAACTTGGATAAAAAATTTAAAGTTGGGAAAAATTGGTAGACAAAAATTTGCGCATCTTATTTGCGAGGACTAATTATTATTATTGTCTTTTGAAAACTACTCAAGAATGAAGTTAACTGACTTTTCAGAATCCATCGGTGTAATGTCTGGAGATCGCAGAGGCCCATTAATGGGACCACTAGTAGAAATTATTATTCCTGGAATTATGAGCTTGATGTCGTTGGATTTAGATTAAAAAGTAGAGTTTATTAGGCATAAAATTAAAAAAACTCGACCATGATGATGATCGCGAAGAAACGAAACGTCTGATCAAAAATCTAATAACATTATCATGTAGTGGAGAAAAAGTAGCAATGAGAATGTGAAGTTTATTGTGCGAGATCATTTCAAATAAAGTCAGAAAAAAATAAAAACGATTTCGGCAAAATTCGATTTTTCATGGATATCTTCGGAATATGTAATTCGGAAATTGGAATTTACGAAATATCAAAACATGACGCCACTGAGCTCAGTAATGCGCAACTCTTTCCAAATTAAACCAACCCTGTATCTCTCATGGTTGCCGAGATCAGACTGCATCCTTATCCGGGACACCCGCCTGTATACATGTCAAGCTTTTCATCAGTTTTTGAAGTGAAACTTCTTAGGCGGCGGTCTGATATTTAGGCAAGAATATGGAGAGTGATTTAGAAAACGCATCACGTAACGTCACGTTTTGGCAAATTTCGTTACACGAGAGACGAGAGAGAAGGAATATATAGTAGACTGTAGAGAGACGGAGAAAGCGAGCCAATGACAATCACAGACGAAGAACGATTGATACAAACCAAGGTTTATGAGCAAAGAGGATTGCCTATTGTTGTCAAGCGCAGATACCCTTGAGACTCGCCTTGAAACGTCACTGTAGATGCGCGTCTCCCTTTTGTGTGGCCTTTCGTCTTTACCCCGACTCATACGCTAAGTCTAAAAGCTGTATGAGGGAGGGTATAGTTTTTAAAAAGTTTCACCTCCCAACACGTGCACAATGCTACACATGATTTTTCTTAAGTGAAACTTCTTGTAAAGTGTATTGAAAGACGCGTCACGTTAACGTAACGACACGTTTTGGCAAATTTCGGCACACAAGAGACGAGAGAGAAGAAAGATATAACGTAGAGAGACGGAGAGAGACAGCCAATGACAATGACAGCCGACGAACGATTCACACAAACCAAGGATTATAAACAAAGAGGATTGCCTATTATTGTCAAGCGCCGTTACCCTTGTGACGTCACTACAGTTTTTCTGTGTAGCCTTTCGTCTTTATACCCCGACTCATGCGCTATGTCTAAAAGTTGTATGAGGAAAGGAATAGTTTTTAAAAAGTTTCACTTCTTAACACGTGTATGATGCTATATATGATTTTTATTATGTTTCAAAAAAGTTGGGAGAATTAGGAATGTCACCCCCCCCCCCCCCCCAAACCAGAGGCCTTCGCTACGTCCCTGGCAACTGGAGTAACTCAGTAACTCCAGTGGAAAGCACATGTGCGATTTGTCGCCTAGAAGAGAAGCTGGAATGCAACTTCCTCTACAGAGTGTATCTGCAGGTATCACAATGGTTGGGGAACGAATCCCTTCAAGCTGAAAGTTGGGAATAGGTGAGAAAAGATGGTGGATAGGGATACCTCATCGGCTCATCCCCATTAAGACAGATGCCCCTTTGGCTCCCGACACTAGACCCTGAGATAGGGACTGTTTAGTGGAGTCTTTTTTTTTTTGTCCGAAATTTTGAGGGCTGAATGTAGCTAGTAAGCTGATGAGAGTATAACTCGATTGCCAGACAGAAAGTAAATGCAGAAGGTTACATACTTTTCTCTTGCAAGTTGACACCCATCCCCACTTTTTCAGCCATTGAAAAGCATCTGGTATTTTTTATGGGAGAATTATTTATCAATGTCAATCTTTTATTCAAAAGCCACACAATTTGAGATCATTAAAAAAAATGCTTCATGTAAATGAATATTTTTGTTCTCCATATTTTCGAACGGGCAGCAGGCGTCAAAATCACCCATATTCTTATCAGCTAACTAGCCACAACAAAAAATGACTACACAAAACGTCCATACTCTCCAGAATTCCGAATGAATGGTAAAAAAACGCGCCTCGAAATCAAGCCGTCTGCCGTAAACAGCTTGATTCTGCCCTTGATAGTACTGATTTTAGCGCCATCTATGGCCGAGTAGCTGAAAATGCTGAAATAATTTACATATTGATTCAACGGAGTTGCCAGATGCAGTTCTTTTAGTCAAAACATAGTGAAATTTTAAAAATATTTTCAGGAAACAATTTTCCAGCTAATATTATAAGATGTGCAACTTGCTTGCAAATATAATTTCACAGCGAAATCTATTGATAAAATTCAGTGAGTGTATTCGTGTCCTTTTCATGCGTGATGGGAATAATTTTTTTTACGCTAATTTTAAGAATTTTACCAATGTTTTTTGCCATTAAGTAGGTATGGACAGAGCTGTTAAAAATTAGGTGTCAACCAAACATGAATTTTTTCGGGGGTAATATCTATAAATCATTCGTGCTTCCTATTTTTCCGAGAAGATTTGAAAAGGCGAGTTGACGAGTCCTTATTTGTTTGGAAAAAAGTATGAGCGTTAAGCGTTATTAAAAACTCGATTTGAAGACGAGCCGGGTTTTCACGTGGTCCTTTTTGCTAAATAAATTGCTTGAAAATTAGTTTCTTAGGTAAGTATATTTCCGCAGGAAAAATTAGAGCACGTATGATATTTAGTAAGATTTATTTCCTGACTCAGCAAAACAATTATTTTTATAAGGGATACAGGGTGAGTCCGAAATAAGTGTGCATTTTGTTATGATAGATAGAGTACAGTAGGACAATCTCTTTTTGCATAAGTAGGTACATGTGTCAGCAAACGTCTTGTTAAGAAATTACATATAGTGTTGAAATTTTCGGAAAATTTTGACTTTCTACCTTTAGATTTAAAATGCCTTGAGCGATTTGCGATTTTGCTGAAACTTTCAGAGATTTTTTGCGATATTCTTAAGCGTCTTTCCAAAAAATCCGTTTGAGTTTCATTTTTCCAGGACTAGACCTAGACCGACTCTTTTTTTTTTTTAAGAAAAAAGTGTCATGCCCCTGGGATTTTTGACGAATTGAAAATTATTTTAAAATTCCTTGTTTAATTTTAAACGGAAAAGGTATCCCGAGTTTTTCTTGTTCGATGCGACGTTTACGAGATAAAAAATAAAAATCAATATATTGTTTGGAAAATCTCGTTGTTCGATACACTCCACTCTGTTAAGAAAATAAGAGTCACTCTAGATCTGGTCCTGGAAAAGTGGACTCAAACGGATTTTTTAGAAGGATGCTTGAGAACATCGCAAACACTAAAAATTTGAACAAAATCGCTCAAGACATTTTGAATCTAAGAGCAAAAATTCAAAATTCTTATATTAAATAAAGCAATGAATAAATTAACTTACCTTCTGGTTATCATTGCAAGTTACAAGAAAACCAACATTTTTTTGACCTATCAACAATTTTTGAATTTTCCCACTTGAATACAATATTAAATATTTGAATTTAAAATGCATATTTGTGATTGCTTTAAAATGACAGGAGGGAAATAATCAAATGAAAACCCCCATCACAAGAACATGCTTATTTTTTTTTGTGACCCCATTTCCACTATTTTTATTTTTGAGATCGCTCTGGAATTCTAAAAGTTGTGATATCTCCAACTAATGATTTAAACTTATATCTACTGGTTTTTGAGATATGGATGTTTGAAATTTGACCTTTTTGGCAGAATGATCTTATACTAGAAAAAAAAATCACACCTCATGCCTCATGGTTAAACAAATGTTATTTGACGATAGGTAACAGAAAGGGGGGAGAAGAGGTAAATAAACACACTTTTTGTTTTTGGGATGGCACATATCAAATCGTATAATTAAAAATATTCTTTACAGCTTTATACAAAATTTGCAGACAACTTTTTTTATACGACTACTATTTGTATCGGCTCTTCAATCGGCCGCACTAGGCTTCACGTTCGTCCTTATGTGTTAGCATTCCAGTTTTTGGTTATAGTTCATTGGTCGCATTATTGTTTTTTTATTGGTCAGGATTTTTGACATGACATTTGAAATTAAAGTTCATTGACAAAATTGAAGAAAAATATTGCTAAGACATACGTTTAAAAACCATAGCAATCTTTGATTGTTTTTTTTTTTTTGAAGACTCGATATGTAGGTATAATCCTAATTAACATAAACGA